AACAGAATAGACAAACATTTAGCCAATCTAACCAATAAAAGGAGAGAAAAGACCCAAATCAATAAAATTAGAAAGGAAAAAGGTAAAATTCCAAAGGACACTGTTGAAATAAAGATTATTAACAACTACTTTGCAAACCTGTATGCTAATAAATTGGAGAATTCATAAGAAATGGATAGATTCTTAGATACATAAAAATTACCAAAACTAAACCAAGAATATTTTAAAACTCAGAATAATGCAATGAGATTGAAGGAGTAATAAAAAAACCTACCAACTAAGAAAAGCCCAGGTCCAGATAGATGGATTCAATGCTGAATTCTACGAAAACTTTGGGAAAATCTAACATCAATACTCCTAAAACTCTTTAATAAAACTGAAAGAGAAGGCATATTCCCAATGTCATTCTGGGAAGCTATCATTACCCTGATTCCAAAACAAGACAAGGATCCAAACAAAAACAAGTATAGATCACTCCCTTTAACAAATGTATATGCAGCCGGGGATTTAGCTCAGCGGTTAGGTGGCCTGCCTTGCAAGCGCAAGGACTGGAGTTCAATCACTGGTACCAAAAACAACAACAACAACAACAACAAAACAAATATATATGCAAAAATTCTCAACTAGATACCAAATAAAATGCAACAACTCATCAAAAAAATCAGACATCACAACTAAGTAGGCTTCAACCCAGAGATGCAAGGAATATTCAACATATGCCAATCAATAAATATAATATATCACATAAGCAAAAGCAAGTACAAAAATAACATGCAGAAAAAGCCTTTGGCAAAAATCCAATATTCTTTCATGATAAAGAAACTGAATAAAACAGATATAGGAGGACATTATCTTAATCTATAAAAGCCAGACATGACATACTACTGACAACATATTAAATGGGGGGGGACCTCTAAACTCAAGAATAAGACAAGTATGTCCACCATTACCATTCCTGAGCAACATAGCACTCTATTCCTGCATTTTCATGAAATAATGAAAACTGACATGAGAAATTTTCAGGTTAAGTGCTTTTAAGTCAAAAGCCATGGGCCAGGGATTTAGCTCAGGGTTCTGCTGCCTAGCTTGCACACACAAGGACCCGAGTTCGATTCCCGGTACCAAAAAAAAACAAATACCAGTATCAGTGCTCAATTTATCTCTAAGTTTTCCACTATCTTTTACATTTTGGCTAACTATTGGGAGATTACTGCTTCATTAAAAAGATTTGTTTTGCTTTAACATTCATTGTTTTTCTCTGTCTCTCCCCCTCCCTCTCCTGTCCTTTCCCTTCCCCTCCTTTCTCCCTTCCTTCCTCTTTTTTCTTTCCTTCCAGGACTGGGGAATCACACTCAGAGACCTTGTGCATGCTAGACAAGTACTCTATCACTGAGCTACATCCCCAACCATTGTTTTTATTTTTTTAATTTTTTTAAGAGACTGTCACAAATTTGCCCATGCCTTGAACTTTCATTCCTTATGCCTCAGCCTCCAGAGTGGCTGGGATTAGAGGTGTACACACTAGGTCTACTTCTTACATTTTTAAAAGTTATTTTCTGCAGGTGGGTTGATTAAAGTACCTAGTCTGTGATACCACAGGAAACAGAAGTACTACTCATTTCTATTTACTTCCACAACCTACCATCAGGTGCTTTATAAATAGTGTGCACACGTAAGATGTGGCTGACCAAAGTTGAAATAGTAAAGAATATTTAAGTCATTACAAGTGAAAATCAAGGCAGTATTAAACAATAGCTTTGATCAAGATTCTCAATTCAGCATTTTAAAATAGCTCCCACGTGAAATGCAGTTTTATGATACACTGTTTTACATAGATATGGATTTTATTTGAAATGATCTTAGGTTAATTTAACCTTTACAAACTTGCAATCTTATCAAAATAAAGTGAATGTTTAAATTAAGTTTATTATAGTAAAAAGACACATTGCCATTAATTACCCTCAAAATACTCCACCCTCAATTTCAATACATTTATCTCATGCTTCTTGCCACCTTCTGAAGGAGTTCTGCAAGTCTTCTTCTATGAATATCTTTTAGGAAAGGTGATAAAAAATATGGTGAATGTTGTTGCTGAGTGCCATCCAATGGAAAGGCAGGTTTGTAAAAATATCAGTGTGTCCTCATCCACCTTATTTACCAGATCTGGTAGCAGGCAACTTCTGGCTGTTTCCCCAAGTGAAAATGACTATGAAAGGTAAATGTTTTGAATTCATTTGGGACACTGAGGCAGTTATAAAAACACAATTAACAATACTCACCAGAGAGGACTTCCAGAACTGCTTCAGACAGTGTCAAGAACAAAGGGATAAGTGTGTTTGAAGTGAGAGGGAATGTTTTGGGGGGTGATTAATGACAATGTGATTTTTTACTGTAATAATTTTTTAAAATTTAAACATTTACCATATTTATCAATCACACCTCATATATAATAACTACACTGAGACAGTTAATTTCAGTCATTTCAACATTTCATTTATGCAGAAAAGAGGGTACATCTAACAAATTCCCAAAAAAACACCGAGCCTTTAGCATTATGTACATGGCAGACTGGTTCCTGTACCAGTTTCATTCATTTATTATAATACATGAAACATAAGAAAAAAGCAAATCTTGCCTTATTTCTAGTCCTGCCAATTATTTTTGGTGCCCTAATCTCCAACTGTGACTTTTTTATGATCCTCTCAATGTAAAAAATGGAATAGCAAAATCATCCTATGTACTATAAGTGTTGTGAAGACTAAAGGTAAGGTTCTTCGAGTAGATAGAAACAAAATTACAAAATCACAAATAAACACAATGGATTCGTTAAAACTTAGCTGATATTAGATTAAAATACATTTCACAATACAACCCCTTAAAGGTTCTGGGTTATGAAGCACTTATGATAGACTGTCCTTCTGCTCATTCATAAGTCAGCAGTGGAATATCACTAGGAAACTATGGAAGGGAGTCAACAACACAATGGTGAAACTTCAGATCCCAGCTGTGTCACTTACCTTAGGACAATTTTGTTATATACACTATATACATATATATCAGTGAAAGCTACACTACGTTCTTCTAAGCTGCAAGACTTTAGAAAATTTTTGTATGAAGATACCACTTTAGAAGCAAAGACTGAAAGTACAGATTTATACAGTGTAATTAACACAGTCCTTGGGACCTTGTTCCAAAACGATTATTATCTTTATTTTTACACAAAGAAGATGAACCTAATACAGACAGTTCAAGAAAATCTTACCGGGAAGTAAATTCCTGAGGCGAAACCTCAAGGAAGTAAAGTTACAGGGAAAAGGGTAAAGTAGCAGAATGTACAAAAAGGCCTAGAGAAATGAAGAAGTAGAAAGGAAGGAAAAAGCAATTCAATGAAGAAGGGAGTCTTCCTAATTTTCTTTACCACCAAAGGCTAACTAGATGTCAAAAAGAGGCCACTAACAAGTGATATTATCATCTTGACTGGCTTGGGTGCTCCATGGAGGACTAGGAAAGCACACTTTTAGATAAGTCTGGGTGGGTCATGGAAGTGTGACCTCAATGTCACTCATCCCTTCCTTTCTAGAGCTGTTTCTCTGGTCTGCTTCCTACAGCTATAAACTAAGCAGCTTCCTCAGCCATGCCCTTCTGTCAATGATGCTCCTCCTCCAAGCCTGCTGACCATGGAATAAACCGAAACTGTGTGCCAAATAAACGTTTCCTCCCTTAAACTGTGGGTGTTGGGTATTTGGTCCCAATGACAGGAAAGCCAGTAAACTAACACAGTGAAAAAAATTTACTCCATTACGCAAACATCTCTCAATAAGAAAGGTGACCATGCCATTCAACCAATCTCAATTAGTATGTTAATGTTTTCCTATTTAGATTCATAATTGTTTGCCTTTTTCTGTTAAGGCCAAGATATTATAAAACCAGGCTGACAAAAAAAAAAACAAAAAAACAATGGTCTATTACTGCTAAAAGCTGAGCCAACAGAAAAGGAGACTAATTTTTTTTTCCTGTCATCCTAAAACATGAGCTTGATAATCGTTCAGAGTAGTGCACCTCTCTGCCCAAAATAATGACCAGTATGAACCTACAGAAGTTCGTTGTATAAAATGCACACTTAGCACAGCCATCATTTTAAGTTTTGCTTATAAAAGCTTTTATTAGCATTGATTCTAAAATCCAAAATCCAGCACTGTAGCTAACCTAATTTGGGTTTTAAGCATGAGCATGAAGACATCTGTATTTCTTAATAAACCATTATCATTAGTCCCACTTAGTTGAAAATCTACTTTATTTGGAGTACTGCCTCAATTTCACTGCCTTTGGTATAAGAAAAGATTCTTCCCCACTTCAAACTCATAGAACATATCAATTTGCTTTTAAATTCTTAATCAAATCAACTTCTCTATCTACAAATGTGTAAAATATTTACACCTACTAATGAGGTTAATTTAAGATTAAATGCCCTCTCTCCAAAATGGTAGAAAGTCTGGAACTTCCCTTTCATCTTTCACAAAACTTTTATGCCCAGATGTAGTGAATTTATATATTATATGTCTTATAAGGGCCAGTATAAGAATATTGTCAAAGAACACAAAGAGTGGAAGTAAAAACAAATACTCCTGACATGATTCTATAATACTTCAGCTTAAATTATAAAAAGTATAAGAAAGCTTATGAAACAACCTTGGTGTTTTTTGATTTCTTACATTAAAATACAGCAAGCTTTAGTGACAAATTCTTCAGAACTCTAAAACATCAGTACAGTAAATTCTCTTCAACCTATAGTTAACTTATATATTTGTATCAATGCAATGTATAACTGGATTCTCATTTCTCATAATTTTTAAACTATTTGAACAGCAAGTATTCACTAGGGAAGAAATAAATTAGTTTTAAAACTCCATTTTCAATTTATCCCTATATACTTTCAAAGTATTTTTAACATACAAATCTTAAAAGGTTATTAATTGCTGAAAGAAAAGCATACTACCTACCTGGCTGGGCACACTGCAAAAGAGCTACTGATTTGCCTCCAGGAGCAGCACACAGATCCAGAACATTTTCCCCATCCTTTAATTCTAGAGCCAGTACTGGGAGAAGAGAAGCAGCATTCAGAAGATAGTACTTTTTCAGATTTCCAACTTGATGTCTTTCTGAAGGCATTCTGTCTGGAGTTCCACTGAGGTAACACTTCATTAATTTAGGATAGTAGGGCAAAGACCCTTGAAAAAGTCTGTGATAGCCCTTCAAATGTAAATCCTTTTCCAGTTCAAAATGGTAAACGAATCGGTTGAGGAGGACAGCATATTGCCACAATGATGGAGATGTCAATAGATCCCTAGAAACAGAAAAAGTGATTATTAATATTAAATGTATCAATACCATTTTATATTATTGGGGCTAGGGTGGTCCTAGATTTATACCTTACTCCAAAAAATAGGGTAAGTCTTTCCAACATCTCCTTTTGCTTCACGAGGCCCTGATATGGCTCCACCCTGCACTATTATAAACCTGTCTGTATTTCAAATTTTGATAGTATTCACTGTGGCTTTTAAAAATTAAATTATTAAAATACTATAATTACTGGGAATTACTCTGAATCAGAGGTATCTTTCACTTGCCTCAGCCCTAATCTTCCCTATAGTTTTCATCTTATAAAAAAAAATCCTGCTTTCATGTAATTGTACATCTTGTCAAAATGGATTTGTCTAGCACTATTTAAACAAGAAATTGTTTTGCTTAGAGATATTATTAATATCAGTGGAAAAACTATTATCATAAAAATGTGTTTGAAGGGATGAGTATTAAAGTTTTCCTCTGATGTGAATAAAAGGCATGAAAAGCTAACTTTAGTGAACTCTATGTAACGGAGTTATTGAGCTGATGAGTGGTTCAGATGATTCATATCCAAGGATGACTTAAAAATCACTTATGGACAGATAGGGCAGGCTTTCCACCCAATAGCATTACCTTCCTAAATTTGTATTTGGTCCAACAGAGCTCTTAACAATCACAAACTCACATCAACTGACAGATCATAGAACAGGAAATATTTACTTTATTTACTAGCTGACCTTTCTGGCTGAGATATTTGGGAACTTCATTAACCATAGTCAATTAAATAAATTCCAGCTGCTACCCACCCCGGAGTTGCCTATATGAGGAATGGCTGGAATGAAATCTAACACCTGCGACTCGAGCATACCATGTGAATTTCAATTTAGGGTAATATGTGGAACTACTTTCTCTTTTCACTTCCTTTTGCCATGCATGAAATGGTGCATCACAGGATCCTGGCATATCTGTTTCAACTATTTTGGAGTGACAACCACTTTAAGAAAGTGGTTTGCAAACTTTAATCAGGGGTGAAACTAATGCTGTGAACAGACTTGTGTAACTACTGCTTTACATAGACCCCAAAGAGAAATATGACTGCCACTGTTATAAATCTTTTGAAAGTCCTTATTACTCTTTGCCTACAAATTGGATGCAAACTTACCCTGTATTGTGAGACACATTTAAGGAGAATTTAATTTATCCAGTCTGGAGTGGCTTGACTTACTTCACAGACCAAACTCTTAGCTAACAAAGGGCAGGATACTTTCAACTGGTTAATCTCAGACAGGACAATGTATTCACTTTTTTTTTCCCAAAACATTCAAAGCTATTTGGGTATTTATTTTTTCAGAATATTAAAGATAATTTATAAAATAACCATATATACAGATGTAATAAACTTGACTAGGAGTGTATTAAATGTATTAAAGTTGGAATTAACACCTCTATTGTAATTCAGTCTTTCCAATACTGAGAACAGTATTCTTCATTTTCTTCATTTATTCAGTTTTCATTCAACTCTCAAAGTAAAGGTTACTAACGCAGGAGTAACCTTGAGGCATGTTACATAAGAGATTGTTTCTTTAGGAAAAATATAAATTTTTATATGTCATCTAATATGGAATATGTTAACTGAGAGAAATGAGAAAGTAAGTTCCAAGGCAAAGGCAAGGGCAAGGGCACACATGGCGGTTGCCAATCTGGACAATGATTGCTGTAAACTGCCTGCATGGCATATCCCTCAGAAAGCCTCCTGTGTTATCTTATCCTCCACCATGCTTAGTCAGTGCTGCATTTTTGCTAACATTCATTCATTCTCTAAATATATACACTATGCAACAACTATATCTACTTACTAATGATGATGTCACATCAACTACATGCTAAGCACATCAATTTATTGATGATATAAAATGAGCTTGTTTAAATTTTTAAGAATCAAAAAATATTAAGTGACTATTAAGTAAAAGACAAATATTAAGTAAAACTGAACAAATGGTACACAGAAGTGACTAAGCTTTGAGAAAGTCACTCAAGCCCCTAATGTATCATAGCCCAAGTCACACTGCCTGTTTATTTCCCCAACCGGATTATATGGAGATCACAAGTTAATTTTCTCTGTGTCCTTGACTAAGTGCCTGGGGACTAAGTCCATAAATAAATTAATCAAATTAGTTTTATTTAAGAATCTCGGGATTTATTACTTGTTTATTGTAGGGGTGCTGGAAATTGAACATAGGGCCTGACACATTCTAACCTGTGCTGTACTACTGAGCTTCACTGTAAGCCCATCAGTTACCATTTATAAAATTTTCAATTCAAATTTAAATTTTAAGTTAAATTTTTAAAAAATTATTAATATGGACACTTTGATAGTACGATTTTTTTGTTTGTTTTTTGAGACAGGGTCTCACTATGTGGTTGAGATTGGCCTGGGACTCATTTTGTAGCCCAGGTTCGTCTCGATCTCACAGCAATCCTCCTGCCTCAGCCACCCGAGTGCTGGGATTACAGGCATGCTCCACCATACCCAGCTGATAGTATGATTTTCATTTAACTTTTCTGGGACATTCTTTTCTCCTCCTAACTATTTGAACTTTCTACATGAGGATGTTGGAGTCAGGGTTTTGCAAGGGAAACATTTAATACAGGACATATAATTTATAGGATTATTTTATAATAGTCACCCAAAAAGTCAAATGCAGATGAACGCAAGAGATCTTGCTGCACACTGAAGACCCAAAGAATCCAGCCAGGGATCTGGATCCCATAGCAATGTCCTGTACAAGCCCAGCTGAAGGCCTAAAGTCCAAGGCAATGTCCTCCATGAGTCCAGACAGTGGCCTAGAGCCCACGGCACTCAAGCTTGTCTATATTGAGGATCTGCACCAGAAGGCCCAAGATTCAATGGTGGAAGCCAGAAACCCTGCATCAGTGGGATGAAGGATTTATGCCACTAGGCTGAGGGATCTACATTGGAGCCAGAAAGTGATGCTCAAGCTGAAGGTCAGAGCTCCCCTGAGAACAGTAGCCATTTCCAGTTGTTACTACAAGACCCTGAGCTCCTCCTCCAAAGAGGAGCAAGCTTCTTCTAGAAAATCAACAGCCCCCATCTTCCCCTCCAGATCTCTTTTTATGCCGCTGGTAACAATCCTCAGATGTGTCTTCCATGCTGAGACCAGGCTGATTCAGTTCAAGTTCAGTTCCAAGTTGACCATTAGTTAATCCACCACAGAGGACAAAAAATATTTTATCTAGAAACTGCTAAGCACAAGTAGTATAAACATATAGATTATAAGACTTTAAATTACCATGGTTAGAAAAGTAAAATTCTTTGTTTTAATGCCATTATTATTCCCTAGAAGGTGTTCATTTGATCATTTTAAATTTTGCTTGGAGAACAAATCAATTCCTCGAAATGCACCTAAGTATGCCTTCAATACTTTGCCAATTTGTTTCTGTTCCTTCAGAGATTCTAATGATGAGCTGATAGTATCTTACTTTTTCTTTTATGTGCTTCTTTTCTTCACAGTGTTTCTTCCTTATCTCTCATATGGAGCAATTTATGTACAGATCTGTTATGAACGGTACCTCAGACTGGAAGTCCTAAGTGAGAATTTGTATTTCTGATGAAAACAACAAAAGGCTAAAAATAATGAATAGAAGGATTGCTTCAAATTAGAGAACAATGCATACACTAGCAAGACCTGATCCTTCACAGCAGCACAAATGGCAGAAAAAAAGGCATGTAGTTTTAAGACATAAATTTGTTTTGTTATAACTGTGAGACACTGGCCAACTCCTCTGACTTTAAAATAGGCAAAAACTTACTACAAGGTTCTGCACAGATTACTGCTGAAATGTATGTGGAGCCAACATGTGACAAAACAGAAATCTAAACACCAGCTAATTTCTTTCCCCCCTAACTACCCAACTTTACTCCCCTTCTCAAATTCAGATAATATCTAGGTATTTACTAACAGTTACGTAATTTTCTCTTCTGGATGTGAACTCTGGGTCAGCGTGATCAGACTCACAAATTTTGTTGTTCGTTTGTTTCATTTGTTTTCAAAGAGGTACATATAAAACTTCTAACGTTCATATAGATTTCCAGTTAATCCTCTCTCATGTATATTAAAGGATAGGATATACATCTATCTTTGTATTCTTAGTGCATAACACAATGCCTAGGACATAAACTCTGCTTAAATTGTGAATAAGTGAATGACTTGCCCAAGTAGTAAGACATTAGCTCTTTTGTGTCCAGGAAAAAATGCTGGAATTAGTAAATTATAACAAAACATCTTGAAATTATAACAGCTGTGTAAACAAACTGCAATGGAAACACAAAAGGAAGTCTGATGGTTAGTAACAGTAACAAAAATAATGCTTATATTGAGAGCTTACTATATATCAATATTCATTTTATATATGTGCATGTATAGATTCAATTTATCTTCTCAAATAGTATATATTTTTCCCATTTTACATGAGGTCTGTGAAGCAAAGATGTTCAATAATTTATCTAGTTCATATTCTACAACCTGCTGAGGTGTGATTTGAATCCACAATCACAGTGACTGTACAAAGGAGAAAAAAGAATAGCACTCCTGGCAGAGGGAACAGCATATACAGTACCAAAACCATGGAGGTATCTCTTTAGTTATGATATGATCTTTGATCTAAATGCAATACCACAGACAGTGAGGTAGCACACATGGTTTGTACACAGGAAGTGACATAAGAACATGGAAGCACTGAGAAGCAGCATGACAGAGTGGGTAAGCCCAAGCCTCTCCGAAATGGGAAGTGTGTATCCACAAATCAGTTAACCCGTGTGCTTCAATGTGCCTATCTGCAATGTTATTTCTATAATGAGACTAATGCAAGCACAAAATGCCAAAAAATGCTGATTAAAATAAACTACTGCACAAACCAGAGAAAGGAGACTCTGGCTATTGAAATATGCCAAATAAGAGATGAAGAAGGCCTGAATAGTAGCAGTAGAGTTAACAAGGATATCCAAAATAAGAAATTTTTCAGGTAGAAGCAACAGCCTTCGGTAGCTATTTTAGATTTTGATGAAGGAAGAGTAATAGTATATGGTGGGTAGTATCGTACACAGAGCGACACCAAGGCTGCTCTCACTTTTGACACCAACTACAATTCCAGGGATCAAAAGACCACTGTCAAGTCCAATTACTCACTACAAGGATATATAGAGCTCATAGAAAGCTGTTAAAGCTCACCATTATGGTGTTTTATTATAACAAAAACATACAGGTTAAAATCAGTCTTGGAAAAAGACCTACTGTAGAGTTCACAAAAATTCAAAGCATGGAGCTGCCAGCTGTCCTCTCTAGCTTTTCCTGGCATAATGTAACAATATGCATAGGAATACTGCCAACTGGACATGTTCAACAAAGCAGCGGTGTTCAGTTTTTATTGAGGAATCACATGGATATAAGTAAATACCCAAACAGACTATTAGGATCCAGCCCCTCTGGAGGTTGTGTGGCTATCTGTAGTTAATAGGCCCCAGTATAAATCATATTATTAGATTACTAGGTGTGACTTAAGACTCCAAAATGAAAAAAAAGACACTCTTATCTAGTACATTTCAAGGGCTCAGTGATCACCTCCCAGCAGCTGAGGGCAAATGCCAGACATATTTTTGAGTAAGGTTCAATCTTTATTACAAAGATAGTGAAGGAAAAAAAGGAGACAACCAGGCTGACAGTTGTGTGACAGTCTTGCCATGAATTGACTAATTTGAAGGAGAACATGTAGTCCACAAGCACAGCAATGACTGAACCATATAAACTATACGGGATTCTCAGAAGGTCATTCAGTAAGGAAGGTTATTATAAAATAGGAAAATTAAAGAAAAATTCTAAATCTTTCACATTACTATAGGAAGCTAAAATTACTGAGTAAATTATAGATGAAGTGGTAACCCAATTTCCGCTGAAAATAAACAAACTGCAAGCACAATACTGTCTTGAAAATAAAGTTATAAAACAAAAGTGTATAATTCTGTCTTCATTTCTCTCTGATATTTTTCCATGTTCAGACTATTTTCTGAGAAAGCTTTTATATTGCTTATGGCAGATTTAGTACATGTTTATGCAAAACTTAAATTACCATGAAAACCCAACAAAAAGGTAGATGAAGCAGAAAGCACAGCTAATTAAATGGAGTTGAGGTTCACTGCTCATTTTGTTTAGGGTCAAATAATAATTTATAAGCCTGTCTTAGCATACTAAATAGAAAAATAATCCATTATAGATAATGGATAGCCATATCACTATAAAATCTGCAGACACAGTATTTGAAATATATTTTTTTAATCATACACATTTGCCTAATTACACCTCAGGTATAAAAAGCAACATATAACAAAGGTTAGCTGTGAGGTGTTGAATCAGAGAACCCAGGCACAAGTCCCAGCTTTGCAGCTTACTACCTGAGTGAACTCAGGCAAGTTACTTAAAGTGCATATAGTATTCTATAGTGAAAAATGAGAAAAAAAATCTCATAGGTTTGCCCTGTGGATCCCATAAGTCAATATTGTCTGGCACATAATAAGCATAGAAGGTATTTGAATATTCCATCTGAATACCTTTACATACTTAAAATCTCATTAATTTATTATACACTTCACTATTCATTCTCTGTGACAGAGGATAAGCATTTTAAAATTATTCTGAAATAAAGGCTATATACATTTTCTTATTATACTATTTGAGTTTCCCAATTATTGTAATTTGTCCTATATCTACATCAGAAACACCGAACATTTTATTATCTTTATTAGCCAAGATTTAATCTTTAACAATGCTCAGGACTGTCCTTTCTGAAGGCAAAATACCTATTAACAGGAGAGATGGAAAAAGACAAGCATCTAAGAAATTACTGCTTGAAACAATTTCCAGTTATCTACAGCCATGTAACTGTTTTGGGGCCTGTGGTCCCTCAACTTCCTTAGCATTGCTCTCTTCCCTCAGCCTAGAACATATATTCTCTTGCCCGGGTAATTGCTATAAGTCACCAAGAACTGGCTTTTCCTCAGGACACTTGCACCTCAGACTGATAAATACAGCAGGATACTCCTGCCCACTTCTATGGTTAACACTTAGCAAATTTTATCAGTTTACAGTTTACACCATGCCCTTCTATTAAAATTCCTATCAACATCAGACTATTTGCAAACTAGACATGAAGACTGTCTTGCTCTAAGTATTTAGGGGGCATTGTATATACAGTACTGTATATATAGTACTGTATCAGGCACTCAATGTCAAGAGCCCATACAGACAGCCAGGGATTTAGCTCAGTGGGTCCGCCGCCTGCCTCGCAAGCACAAGGACCTGAGTTCAAGCCACGGTACCAAAAAAAAAGAAAAGAGTTCATACAGTAACAATGGTTAACAGCAAAACTCACAAAATAAACTCATCAAATTTCTCTCGCTTGCTTTTATGCGTTAAACTTTTAATTGTATAATACATTAAAATAATTTACGGACCTGCACATATTTGTGAAAATATAGCTAACCAAAGACATAACAGAATATGATTATTAAATAAAGTATAACTTAGAGAAGATAACAAGTGCTGACTTTAAAGACTTGTATTATTTTCTCAATTTTAGGAACTATCCAAATGTTGAAGTTTTATGTTACAATATAATTTTGTAAAATTGGTAAGCCTATCTCAATTGATGAAAGCAACTGCTCACAACAAAGGCATAATAATTTTTGCTTAGTATGTCTACAAAATTTATTTCTCCTCTTTCCATTATCCAATGACTCAATCCATTTCCTCTTACTTCTTCCTTTCCATAGCCCCAGTGGGAATGGGCAGTCGCATTTAGATTTCTGTAGCTTTTATCTTCACTGCACCCCTCCCGGAAAAAAAGTGTATTATATTCTTTACTTACACTGTTTTATCTTAAAGCACCAAGAGATCAATTATACTAACCTTACTGTATTCCAGGGATCTCCAAGTTCCTTAGAATACTGTGTGTCAAAATGATCCAACACAACTCTGCAAATCTGTTTCGCAAGCTTCCCTTCCGATTTTGCTTTCAGCTATGACACGATACATACAAGATATTTGAATATTCCATCTGAATACCTTCACATACTTAAAATCTCATTATTATACACTTCACTATTCATTCTGTGACAGAGGATAAGCATTTTAAAAACTTCTGAAATAAAGGCTATATACATTTTATACTATTTGAGTTTCCCAATTAACCTAATTTGTCCTATATCTATATCAGAAACGCTGCTGACACACACTGATAATATTACAAATTTATTGAATTCCAACATTAGCACTGTCTACTTTTAAAGAACCTTTTAAATAATTATGTTTCTGCAATGGGACCAATATGCGGATAATCTATCCTTGAAACAAAACTGTAGCAGCCACTACTCAAAAAGTTGTTTTGTTTTTTTTTCCAATATTATCCATGAAGCAAAGGTTAAAACAGAATCTAGTGGTACTAATTTTTTTTAAAAAAGAACTTTAAAAAGAACTAATTTTTAAATATCCAGTGTACATGTGACCATCAAAGAGAACTTTGTGAAAGGAACATGAGAACTCTGGACTATCTTCTCTTCTCAAATGTTCTGTAAATCTAAAATTTCAAAAAATGTTTAAAGTTTATTTTTAAAAAAGTTTCTATTTTTAGTTTCTTCTTGTAATTGCTCGCAACTGGTTCATTTATTCATTCTAGAGTGTCTCGAGGGCCAAGAAACATTTAACAGTAGTGTACAACCGTGACACAGGAGGCAAAGACTGAGAGCTCGGGGAGCTTACGGGGTGCTAGATCTTGAAGTTAGAAGCTACAGGTTTGTAGGCTGGGTTGAGGGAATCAATTATTTGGAATATAGAGGTGTCCTTGGTAAAAACTACAGGAACACTCAAAGGCAACGAATAAAAGTGCTCAACATCATCGCAGGGTTCTGGAAAAGGAAGCCAAAAGAGGAAGAAAGGAAAAAAAAAAAAAAAAAACACAACTCTCCGTTCCCGGGCCCTCCCTCGCCTCCTCGGCCGCATGGCGAACTGGTTCGGTCTGAGGCGCCCAATTGGGCCCCAGGGCCTCACCCGAGTCAGCATCATCCTGCAGCGAACTTGTACACAACAGTCCCACACGACCAGGAACCAAAAGCCTCCCGCGGAATATAAAGAACAAGCAGACTTCCGGGACTAGCCGACCAACGCGCAGGTCCTCTCTTTTCCGGTCGAAATTCTCGCGAGATTCTACTTTTCCTTCGTTCTCCTAACCTCGCCACAAAGATAAAGTCTCGCGATGGGTTCTCGCAAAGCTGCGCGTTGAGACGCGGGCGAAGGAAGGTGTTTCTAAAGTGCAAGTTGTGGCGAGGCAGGCAGGGACTGTCGAGGCATGGCCCAAGCCGGGGTATAGGCTTTGGGCTGGTGGGCTATAGAAACTACATAGCTCATCATGCTGAACTGTCTCTGTGTGCGTGGGTTCGGTAAGAGATGGGTCTATCTCTTATTAGGCTGTTTTGTCATCGTTTTAGACTCAAAGGCGAAGGTAGTTTATCTGCCAAATCTGTCCACCCCCTCTACTCTGGAAATTAGGTGAAAACATCAGGTTCCCCCACCGCCAGGATGAAACATGCGGATAATCTCTCATTGTAAAACTGGGAAATGTTAAATATTAAAATTAAATTGAAATACGCATATAAAGTGAACGGATACTGGTCAGCAGTAAATGCCTTTCTGTTCTCTGATGTTGTGTACTACTTTCACTGTCACGATCATTTTATCATCGTGCTTTGATAAACAAATGCCTGAGAGCCAAAATGACTCCATGCCAGCCTCCCCATTCACTTCTACAAGACAATGTTAGTGGTCCTCAGAAAAAGTGTTTATTACACCCATTCTGATAAAAATAGCAGTTCATTCGCACTTTTAGTGTTATTCTTTATTTGCTCCCTTGTAGCAGCCATCAGTAATTTATTAAAGAATATTAGTGTAGTCCCTAATTGGGACTTGATGCTCAGACTAGATCCTTTGATATATACAAAGTTGCAAGTATATTGATCACCTGAAAAGATAAATGAGTTTATCACTGAGATTTAAAGCTTAATATATTCAAACAAGTTTCCCAGTAATCTAAAAATGTGTCTTATTTAAATTTAGATTTGATACAGAAGATAGTATGGTATTCAGGAGTGAAAAGATTACATGATGTTACTGACTGGATGTTTGGGGAAGTCACTAGCCTAACTTATAGCCTTTATACTTGCAGAGATTTCATTAAAGTTTTATTTTTTAATGTCCATTACAGAATGTAACAATGAATTCACTTTATTTACAATGCAGACATAAGAGATAAGAAAGTAGTGAGAAACACATGTGCTTTATTTCTATTAGGGAAGTACCATGGTATACATAGGAAGAGATCACTAGTTCTATAATATTTTGTTCCTTAGCGTATTTCTATTTTATGATTTTAAATTAACACAACAAATTTTTGTCCACATTTTTTATAATCTTAAAATAGGTTACGTATGTACTTAGTTTGGATTATTACCTATGTTTCTTTTGAAAATAACTTATATCCACTTATCTTTAGGGGTCTTGGTCTTATTAGAGAATCAGCATTGTCACATTGGAAGTTCTTTTTCAGTTTCCCTTAAAACAATTTCACAATAAATGTGTAGCTGCTTTAAATTGAAACACATGTTTTGTTGGTTCCATTGCTCCTAAGTGTATAACTTTCCTCCTGAAGTGGAAGTCAATTGTTTCATCCTCCCTTTTTTATAGTTTGACTTCTTTTGTTTAAGCCCTTAATATAGAACCAGTATTTCTGTATCATTAGAACCCAAGTGCATTTGCCTCCCATGACAAATAGCTACTGAAAAATAAAGCTCTACCTGTTGAGAAATAAATACTGTTAGAAGTAGACTTGTTTTAAGCTACTGAAGACATTAAGTTAAAAACAGATGACATAAATAGCAGAAATTAACATTAGTTTTTTGGCGATGTTAATTAATTGGCTTTGATGAGAATGTATGTAGGTAAGAAAAGTATCTCTGTGATGAAATCAGTTGATCTAAGGGATGTTTCTGAATAAATGCACTTTATGGATGGACCATCTTCTATATTAGCTGTTTAATGTTTACATAAAACACATCTCAAAACCCTGTATGTTAGATAGAGGTATACTTTGCCCCCGCCACAAAAAGGTAAGGACAAGCTCTGTGGTAAGACAATCTGAACTCAAGAGATCCCTTAGCTCCTTAAAATATAAGGCAGAAAACATAAAAGAAAACTGTAACCACTGGCAGGAACAGAGCATAATTTTAGGCAATCTTGGACTTTATTTCAGGTGAGGCTCTTATTTTATTGGTTTAGGGATACAAGTGATAAATACAAACTCCAGTAGACAACCTACTGCAATGGAGGAGTAAATATAATACTTCTATTTTTATTTAGTATAATACTTTAACTTCCTCATTTAGGGGGTAAAATGTACATAGTACAAAATATGTATATAAATGTTAAAGTATGGAATCTGTCACTCCCAAATTTGTATCCACAGCATCACAAAATGTGTATTTGGAGATGTAGCCTTCAAAGTAATGGTTAGGTTAAAATGAGACTATAAAAATGAGTCCTAATTCAGTATGACTGGTTCTTTATAAAACAAAGCACAAAATTGGCACACTAAAAAACAACAGATCAAGAGCAAAGAGAAAAGCCATGTGAGGACACAGTAAATCAGCAGCCATGTATAAGCCTCAAGTGAGACGCTCAGAAAATACTAAACCTGGTGGCATCTTGATCTTGGATCTCCACTCTCTGGAACTGAGAAAATTTATGTTGTCTAATTCACCCAGTCTGTAGTACTCAATTATGGCAGCCCTAGAAAACCAATATAACCAAAGTATAAATGTGTATTAAAAATTTCTTACTGATATAAAAATTTGGAGTCTACTAATTCACTTAACTGGGTCATAAATCCTGTTTCTTCAATAACATAAAAGGAATTTATAACCCATGCCCTAAATAAGCAAATGATTGTTTCCTCCTATTTTCTCTTTAATTGTAAGTTGATTACCTTTAGAGGAAATTCATTTCAGATTTTCCTATTTTTGTCTGAAAAACAAACTGAGATTCTATTATTTGGTTCTCCAAAGCTAAAGAACTATTGTTATTTTAATGACCTATGCCACACATCAATGTAAGTTCTGAAATACCTAAATTTGTTCTTTGGGTCAGCTATAATATGTTTCTTGATAATACTAATCAGTATCAGTATTACCAGAACCTTAGTAACAAAATATATTCCACTTACAGAAGAATTTAGGCATTAAAGCCAAAGATGATCAAATTTATAACCTACAGCTTTATTTATAAGCAACTTCACTTTTGAAAAGCTTTGTGACCTGGAAGCATGGATTTGTTAAGTTGGAAAAGAAGAAATTTACTCTCAGGAGTAACATGGCATATCAAACAGTATCACATCAAAATACTGTCATAGAACAGTGAAAAACAAGCTGCAAATATACTAATGTTTTCTATAGGTGAACTTTTCCTAAGTATAGACAGGAAATTTTACATATTAAGTACATTATAGATTTTAACTTGCCATTTAAAAGAGCTAAATTTTGAACTGAACACTGCATTTAAATAATTTATACAAAGCTGGGGCGTGGTGACACACGCCTGCAATCCCAGCATTTGGGAGGCTGAGGCAAGAGGATCGCTGTAAATTCGAGACCAGCCCAGGCTACATAGTTCCAGGTCAGTCTCAACTACATAGTGAGACCTTGTCTCAAAAAAACAAAAAACACTCAGGCTAGGGATTTAGCTCAGTGGTTCCGCTGCTTGCCTCCCAAGTGCAAGGACCTGAGTTCGATCCCCAGTGTCAAAAAAAAACAAAACAAACAAACAAACAACAACAATAATAATAATTTACATAAAATTAGAAATTTGATTTTCCTGTTATAAAAATACACCAAATTACAAAACTATTTCAAAAGTGGAGAGAAACACAAAACCTGTAACTCAAAAAGATCACTAGCATTTTGTAACATTTCTAGTGTAGTTTCTGTGCATAGTTTGATAGTTGGTATCAATTACATGTAGAATTATAAATAGTGTATATGTACAAATTTTCTAATAGAAGCTTACAGAATTATCTTTCAAATAAGTAAAAATAAGCCAGTAGCTTTAACAAAAGACAAGACAGTGAACCATTTAGTCTTTATATATAAACATCATTACACTATTTTAAAAGACATTTTAGCTCATATAAATAAAAAAACTGGAGTGCCTGGGAAAGAATATACACACACACACACATACACACACACACACACATATATATGCACAAAATCTTTTTCATGAAAATAACAAGTTCATTAATTTTAATCTACTGATTCACCTGTCTTAACAATCATATTAAAAATATTTACTTATCCAAAGAAAATCATTTAAACTCAATGAATGAAAAGAAAAACAGCATGATATAAAATATTTTTATTGTGTGAAAATGTCATAATTCAATATAATTAAGAATAAAAATGTAGCATATATTAAAATAGGCAATTAACTGTTAAAATACACCTGGATTTACAAAACATCTTTTAAAGCATTTGTAGAATGTTTCAAGAAAGTAAATTCATTTTTGAGAGAGCTAAATGAAACATTGATTCTATTTTACGATACATTTAATTTCAAAGCCATTTTTAAAATTTTTATTAAATGGAATCAGTAATTACTGTGTACTACAGTAAACACTGGTAAGAAACAAAAATGTTAAGAACTTTATTTTCAAACCATATGAATACTAAACAGCATAAGATGATGTTATAAAAGGAACCAAAAAGAGGAACAATTAGTCCCCTGAATCCCAGTTCAAAATTTACTTATATCTTCCTGTAATACTTTCCCTTACATTTCAGCCACTTCTCAGATTTGGATTGTTATTTGTCTTGCATCTGATGTAAAATGGTTTTTGCTCACTCAGTGTGCCAGGTAGGTTGTGTACAAATTCAAGAAATTGTACCATGCTGACTATAGTAATAAGCAGCCTGATTAATAAAAGTTTAGTCAGTTAAAAAATGTGATTCTCTAAAGTAAACTTTTCAAAGTAATCATATTAAACATCTCAAACATACTTATTTATGTTATCCTCAGATAACACTGTATGCCTGCTATCTGTGTACAGTACCAAATGTACCAATCTTAACAAAATGATAAATTATTTTGGTTTATGATTTTCACTGGATATAAAGACATGCTCTCAAATGAATATTATAAATCCATTACTAAAAATATACATAATTTGCCAAAATAACAGAATAAAGAATCTTACGGATGTCATTTGTAAGTGCAAGAGAAATTTTAAATTGAGAAATTATGTTGCAATCATTTCTTTATAAAAGTGTTTGAGCCAACTTATTGCTTTAGTACTCAAGCTCCTTGTAAAATACAAGTCTCTGGACCTGCAGTATATTTTTCAATAACTTTTGCCTTTAACTTCAAGGCATGAAAGAATTAGAATAAAAGAAGTCACTATGGCTTCTGACAGAACAAAGGAGTAACAGAAAGCACCTTTATCTCTGAAAGTATCTGACATTTAAAACAGGTGTTTATTGGGATTTTTAATAATATCTCATGAACATATGTTTATTAATTTTTAAAAATTAAGTTAAAAAGATATGCCAAGCCTCTTTAATTTATTGAGATTATCACCAAAATAAACCACAAACAACAGAAACAAATTTGAATTCTGTCTTTGGATAATATTTTCAAATCATATAATTTGGTAGAATAAAGAACAGAGATTATATTGTGTTGAAGGCATTATTTTGAGGGTCAAATTAGGATATATTGTTCAATAATAATATTACAAAACATACCTCGAGCCATAAAATATTTGTTTATATAGTTCATGTCTATCAAGTACATCAACTGTATCTTCCAGAAACAATTTAAACAAAACATTTGTAGAAAAGTGCACAATGTAACAGTAATTTTTTAAAAGTTTTAGAAAAATACAAAAATACTTTAAGATCTAGGTTATAAATTCCAAGGAGTTTCCCTTCCATGCATATGCACTTTAACTTAGAAATACAAACTAGAAAACAAAGTATGCAGAGTCCATTGCCTTTTTCCAATGAGGTTTTCCTTTAGGAATATGCCCATGAATGGGATGTGTAAACCAAAAAGTCAATTTTGTCTTGCTAACTTGGTCCAAATGCTCATCCCATCTATTAGTCATTTAGTTTCCTTTCTGCCTTAGCGAAAAACCAGGAAAAGTAATTATCAGGAGAAGTCCTTGGCTATCAGTCTGCTCTCTAAAATTACTGTGGTGATCAAGGTTTCTCTCATTTTGAGAAAGAGGTCCCAGTTCACCTTGCTGATGTTAAGAGAGCTAATCCACATGACTTGGTTATGAGATCACATCCTGAGCGTCACTATTAGGTCTCTGTCTCACAGCCAGAGGAGGAAGTGGCTTCCCATAGAAATCTACATGAACAAGGGAAACCAAAAACACAAAATAGTTATGATAATCAAAGTTTCTGATGTAGTCTATAATTTTTCAACCATCTTTTAAAAAAGTAAGATAAGACATACTGACTTGTTAAGAGAAGCAATGGGTAGGGAGATAGGAAAAATAAAAAAGAATTGAAGAAAACTTCAATTAACTCAAAACCAAACAACTAGAATAAACTATGTGACTAAGAAGTTGGAACAAATGAATACAAATGAAATTTTTTTCCAATTGCACATTCACATTAAAAATGAACAAATGCAAAATATTTAAAATCTATACAATGTATCTCTAAGGCCTTGCTGTATCAGTAGTTACACATGCCATATATTCTTATGTAGTGGCTGTTACTTGTAGGTATTTTAGGAAAAGCATAATAATAATGCATCTTATAATAATGCATCAGTACAATTCAGTGATTTGGGGCATATTTTATACAAAAATGTCTTGTCCTTTATAATAATTATCTATCCCTTAATCATAAGTTGGCTTCTAAATTTAATGGTATGTGCAAGCCACGCCATCAATAAGTAATTTCTGATTACCTTAAGATTATTTTAGAAGCATAGGTGTTCAGGATCATTTGAAATAAATATATAAAACAGGTATTAGGGGAAAATGATTTCTTTAAAAACAACTATTAATTCAAAGCAACTATTAAGCATCAGGGATGCCCTAACAAATCTTAATGTAACAGTACAACATAATGAATTAGACATACATATTTCAGAGCTGGAAAAACCAAGTTCAAATCCTAGTTCTGCTGCTGCTTAGCTACATGACCTTGACATATAGGCTGCTCACAAAAAGAAAGTGGATATTATTGCCCATTTAATACAATTATTTTGGAGAATTAAAAATTTTTAACCAAAATGGTAGCTATAAGCTATATGTAATTATTATATTGTTATAAAGTGATAACAAGTACTTAATTATTTTGATAAATTTAAAGTATGCATTCTCTAATTTTTTTAGTTCAAAATGAATGAAAATTTTAATACATAAATACATAACTCATAACACAGAGTGACTATGTTTTGTCACAGACTTGACTTCTGGAATTTTTTTTGTTTTATTTTGTTTTTTTGAGAGAGGGTCTCACTGTGTAGTTGAGACTGACCTGGAACTCACTGTGTAGCCCAGGCTGGTCTTGAACTCACAGTGATCCTCCTGCCTCAGCCTCCCGAGTGCTGGGATAACAGGCGTGTGCCATCACATCTGGCTTACTTCTGGAATTTAAAAATACTCTTGTAAAAAGATGAATTAACTCCATGTGCAAAAATTGTTGGCTTCTTTTTTTCCTCTCAAGGAATCAGTTTGATTTTAGGACATTTTATACTACTATTTCTTTGCCAGAAAATGGAATTACAGTATAAAAATAGGCTCCTTGTTGCCCCAGTCATAGAAGGTATTGTGATCAGGGTACCCAACAAAAATGACTAACTTAATTGCCAACAGGCATTTTTATAAAGAGCTTAAACTTTTTAACCTGAATATTAAGGACCAGTAAAATTACACAAAACATTTTATCTTCTCTCATAATTTTAAGATTTAAAAAAATTCTTTAGTGTGCATATTTATTATTTGAATCTAGAATTGTTTAATTTCTTATAAAGTGAAATATATAACACATAACATTGATAAAATACCAATTAAGAATGTTCATACAGTAAATACAGAATCTTTTTCTAAGTCTCTCTGAAGCATCTATCTTGCCTACTACACTGAGCAAATTGTGTAGGCTATAAAAGTGATTAGAAAAATAGGTGAAATTGTTTCCAAAGTAAGTATTTATAATCAAAGTATGAGAATCTGCCTTAAAAAGTCCCAATCTAATGTTCTCAAGATGTTTTTCAACTCAGCAATTTTTGTTTGTTTGTTTGTGGTGCCAGAATTGAACTCAGGACCTTAAGCTTGCAAAGCAGGCTGCTAAACCGCTGAGCTAAATCCCCGGCCCTCAACTCAGCAATTTTTAACTGCCAAACTACTGTGATACCTTAGATCACAAATTTGATTCTTCCCACAATTCTAGTCGCAAACCCAGCTTGACAAGAACCAAATCAAATTCAATGGTTAAGTTCAATATTGACCTTTTGGGAAAATTAATGGGGAAACTGTAATAGATTCTTAATTATATGCTTGCTACTTTATCATATATTTGTTAGCTACTTGCCATCAACCTTTTATCAACATGCTTCTAGATACAAAGGCAAATAAATGTATCTAAAGCTGAGAAAAAGAAGAGGATGCAATTATCCCATGAACATCTCCAAATAACTTTCCAATACTACTTAATACAAACTTTTTATATTTCAATTTAAATTTATTACACCTGCTTTCTTCCCCAATTAACAGAGCTGACTGTATATTTTAAACACCAAATGAAATAGGTGACTTAATATTTACTGAGAAATTAATAAAGCTATTTAAAAATTAGTAAAGATACAATATTGTCTGTGTACTGAGAAGCTAAAACTTGACATGATTAAAATGTAAGAGTGTAGTAGCTTTAAACTTAACTACTTTATTATAAATCTTTCCTGGGAGTTCTCATTTAAAAACAAATACAAGCCAGGCAAGTTGGTGCACACCTATAATCCCAGCACTTGGGAGACTGAGGCAGGAGGATCACTGTGAGTTGGAGACCAGCCTGGGCTACACAGTGAGTTCCAAGGCAGTCTCAATGACTTAGTGAGACCCTGTCTCAAAAAACAAAACAAAACAAAACAAAAAACAAATACAGATAGAGAAAAGTGAGGTTAGAGGGAACTCAACTCCTCTCAGTTCATTTTCTACCTTTTTTTTTTCAATTTTCTTTAATTCTAATTTTCTCCTTGAATGTCACCATGAATGCTTTGCATCTCTTTGTACATTCCTTCCTTCATACACAGCAAGCAATCACTTCTACTATTTTCAATCAGCAAAACAAAGTGTATTTATTATGCGCAAACAACTCCTATAATTTGGTGACTGGTGGGGCTGTGGGGTGCTACCTACAAATCCTCCCCTACCCACTGACCTGAGCTTCTTCTTTCTTATTCTCTGCTTAATCTCCCTTGTATTGCCATTCAGACATTTCTAAACAGATAAGCCTAGAGAAACCTCTACAGTGTGTATTTTTCTCTCAAATTGATTTCGATTTTTTCCTCACATAGTCTCAATATTAGGGACAGCATTAAACCTCTAACTTCTCACCCAAACTATGCTCTGTTCTTTTTTATTCTCAGTCCACACTTCCATGTATCACATGTTACTTATTATAATTGTTAAAATATTATTTGCATAATTTTTTTCTATTCCACTTTCCATTCCTTATCTCTGAGATTACAGCAACAACCTCATAACTTGGAGTCTTACCTTAGCAAAGCCACCAAGTCTATATTTTATACATTGTGATAAAAATTCTTTTCCTGAGCAGCAAACCTAATAGAACTTTTTCCATGCTAAAAGTAAATGTTATCACTTTAAAAATTATACAAAGTCCATATATCTTAACAACTATGTGTAGCCTTCACCATCTAGCCCTAAGCTAGAATTCTTTTAATGTTCTTTGTAATTTAAAATTTTCTATTTCTTACCCATCTGTGTTCATGACCGTAAACTTCAGTCACATGCTATTCTCCAAATAAATAATTTTCTTTCCTGCCTCTCTGCTTTGTTTTTATTTATATATTTACTTGTTTTTTGGTACCGGGGATCAAACTCAGGACCTTGCCCTTGCGAGGCAGGCGGTGGAACCACTGAACTAAATCCCTGGCTCCCTGCCTCTCTACTTTGAATAGTCTGTCTACTACTACTCCCTCTTCTCACTCTTTGAAGACCCAGTTCTAATCCTACTTTCTCTAACTGCTCACGCAGTCTAAGCATAGCAGTTCTACACCACAGATAGTTGTCACTGACATGACAGTAAACTGAAGTATTATTTTCTCTATTAGATGAAGATCTCCACAAAAGCAGAATGTATGTCTCATTCATCTTAGTATTAGAAATGTGTTAGCTGATGCCAAATATAAAGTAGGTGCTTACTGAATGATAAATTCAGTAAAAGAAAAAAATCTATAATATGAAAATTATATCATAGGTATATGTGATTGTACATATAAACACACTATGATTGTCCTGCTTGCTTCTTCTAACACTATATTTAAATTTACGATATATTCAAATACATATAAATTTACTTAGTTATATAATAAATCAGGAACTAACCTATTATAGTCAATAAAAACATCATGATATAAAAATGAATAACCTCAACACTATAATCTTAAATGAACTAAATTAAACACACAAGTTTACATAATGAAATAGTTTCTCTTATATGAGAAATCCAACTGTAAATACGGAGCATAATGGAGGAGAGATATTGAGAAGTAGGAAGAGCATGTCTAAATGGGAAGGGGAACAAGGGAAAGGGTAGGAGGAAGGGAAAGAAGAGAAATGAACAAAAGAGAATAGAAAAAAGAAATGGAAACAAAGCTTCGGTAAATGGGGAAGGGAAGAAGGATTCAAGGGAAAGGAAGGGAATGAGAAAAAAGAATCAAGATATATTATTTACAGATACAAATTCCAGATGATAAATGTGATCAATATGTATAACAAATATGTACTAATAAAAAAGGTTAATAAAAAATCAGTAAATCAAATAAAGATATGTAATTCTAATGGAAATAACCTTTTAGTAATTTCATAGTCTAAGGACAACCTTGTCTATCTCTAGAAATAAAAAAGTCTTCTGATTTTCACTAAATTATAATGAATCATTACATTATTCACATTATTTGCTCTGAAAAGAGCAAATAGTACACTTATATAATTTTTAATAAAATATTTTATAGGGTTTGATATATAAAATTACATAGTAATGCTTTACCAAACTCTACATTTCTTTTTTCCTACTAAGTGCTTTCCTTAGGTTACTTAGAGTTTTAGAGTAGTCTAATACAGAGCTATCAAAAAGGTCATTAGAAATTTTGAACAAACAAGTTTAGTAAGCTACAATGATATGTAATTATTCTTTCACCTTGTAGAAATCTTATCTTATTCAAAAGATTCAGACTGATGGTCCATAGCTTCTCTCTATTATACAAGCTGTTCTCTTACTGCCCAGTGTCCTGTGTCTAGTTTTTCCTTCCTAGAGTTCTAATGTCATCAACTGGCTGGATTATAGTTGATGTTAATTTCACTCAAAGAATTATTTTCTTAAGAAAGATTTCAGTAACTTTCCATTTAATTAAACTGTATTTGGTTTCCTGATTTATTCTCTGATTTTATTGATTTTGTTGTTTTTTTCCTCATTTTAATGTTCAGCAGCTATCTTACTAGGAAAAGAAAAAAAATAATCAGAGTATATCTACTATATGTGAGGATCATACAGATTTTTTAATATTGTAAATGTAATTTTAATTTCTCATATTGAAGTTTAATGTCCTCCTTTCCCCTTGTCATATGTATTTACACGAGTTTATCAAGGATAAGCACAAGTATAATTCTTTTATATTTATACCCTAAAATAAACAAAAATCAAATTATATAAATGCGAAGTATATTGAAAAAAATTTTAAATGAATAAAGCAAAAAGTATAATGCAAAAGGATGGCAGTAGATTTAAAGGGCTTAAAAATAAAACATTAAGTTTGTTAGTTATGAAGTAAAAACAATGGATGTATATGTACACAAGTTGTTTGAAAATGTGTCCTTTTTTGCATTACCATTATGACGTGTTTCACCAAGAGGCTCAAGTTTTGGAAGTCTAGTAACTTTAGGTGTTCCCCAGCCAACTAAAGAAAAAGAAAAACATGTAATAGTGTTAAATATATGTCTCTTTAGGACTGCTGAGAGGATCCCTCCTTTGAAAGAAGTATATATAAAATTCAGAATTAATTCAAATTTTCTAAATGGCACAACACTGAACAGCAACAAATCCATTTTAAATGGTTTCTATTTCAAAATATAAGTACTGCATAGGCTGCTAACATCTACTTTAAGTTCTTATTCATCTTTAACTAAAAATATAAATAAGCCCTTTCACTACCATCATGAATAAGCTTTAGGTTACTATTCTAACCTTAGCAGAGGTTGAAAGAAATTTTTATTAAATGGGAACCTAGAAATTAGTCTTTTAAAAATTCCCAAAAGAAAATATTATTGTCTAAAGCCTATAGTCAGGCTACAAAGACACTAAAAACATAATTTATTGAGCACCTAGAATAAGTGCAATGCTATTCTTAGTGCTGAAAAGTCACAATTATTGTGCAATTATGACCCACTACTTTACATGCATTACTTAATTTAATCCATGTAACAGGAGGTGGGCATATATGTTGGATTTATATCTAGGTGACTTTCAGGATAAAAGGTCCAAAATTTTAAAAGGTAACATTAGCCATCAATCCAATAAATTTAAATTCCTTTTAGCAAACTGGGCATTGATATTTCAAATTGAACTCAAACATATTCTGGGAATTACTAGGTAAAGTTTCCTTAATAGATTTTACCTTTTTGTTTTATATTATAAAAACTGATACTTCTGTTGACAAACTTTGAGTGTAGAAAAAGCAAATGATTCTCATTGAGATTCAGAAAATAATGAATATACTAAATAAAAACTATACAATTTCTTTTTTTCTTTCTTCTTTATTGTTTAAAGTCAAATTTCTAAATGTAGTATATCAATTTACTCACCAGGAGGGGGAGGAGGGGGTGGTGTTGCACTCTTAGGAGCAGAGTCATCTGTATTAACTGGTTCTACTCGGTGACTCCTTTTCATTCTTAGTTTCTTAGTTTTCTTCTTACTGTTATCTATAATAATATAAATATAGAATTTAATACCAATGGGGAAAAGTGAACTTCTTATAATAGAACACATTAATCTTTGGAAAGAAGTGAACTTCTAAGGTAGAAAACAAGGGATGAAATGAGAATATTGATATTACCACCATAGAAACGTCTTTGTTGGAAATTGCTATCAATAACCAAATATGAACTTGAATTTCCTCAGAAAAAATATTTAATTGATGGCTAACTTTATATTTCATATATATTTTTTCTAAAATGGGAGTTGCACAGAACATAAGAGTCAACATCCATTAAGCCTACAAAGCAGTAAGAAATACAAGTATATTTGGAAACAAATTATTTTTCTAAACAAGTCAGTGTCATTTAAGACATCTTACTCTAGGTAGAAATAGAGCAGTATTTTCCAATTATTGTAGTTTATATCTGGAAGGATGGAAGGAGAACTTCAAACCACATGGTATTTTAGGATCAACAGCAGCTCAGGATGATTGAGGAGCACAGATTGTGGAACATAAGATTTGGACCTGGTTCTCAGCCAAGCCTCAGAAGAAACATATAATCATAAATTATTCAACCTCACTAAGTCCCTGGTTTCCCGACTACATAATGGAAATAATATGCCCCAAGATTGCTGTGTTTAATACTATGCTGCTGTATTGAATAATGCCGTGAACCTTAAAGGTATGCTTTAAAGTATAAAATATAACAATATAATTGAGGTTGTATGACTTACTACCTCAGATCTCCCTATCCTATATTTTAAAATCATTTGATAAATCCCTTTATTTTTAACAATATGTCAGGATTAGAGTCATTTTACAGACTAGAGAGACCACTATCTTATGGCTACTTTCTTTTACTTGCTGATGGAAAGTTACATGGGTATTAAAATAGCTGTCATAACTTCTTATCTAACAAAAATAGTAATTCAAATATATTTATCATTCAGAAAAATATGCATGTTGGCTAACTTCAGCTCGGGGATTGAGAGTTTATTTTAATGAACCCTAGGATAGTTGAAAAAAAATCTTAAATACAATGGAACCATATCACTAAACAGGAATAGCAAGAGAGTAATTATTGGGCCCATCCTTTCTGGAAGGAATAGTGTAGTTACTTTACAAGTAACCTTAAAAACCTGATGAATAAAGATGGTGCTTACCCCATTTAAGAGATGAAGAAACTAAATCTGAACAATGTTATAAGGGTCCCCAACCAGGCTGCACTGTAGGAGGCGAGTGGCAGGCCAGTGAACACAGCTTCATCTATATTTACTCCTGCTCCTGTCCCTTGCATTACGACTTGTGCTCTGCCTCCCATCAGATCAGGGGTGGTATTAGATTCTCACTGCAGCTAGAGACCTACTGTTAACTGCACATGCTGTTGTGTGCTCCTTCCTTATGAGAGTCTCAAGCCTGGTTATATATGGTTATATGAGGAGAGCTGAGGCAGTGAAGCTAGCACTGGGGAATGACTGCAAATACAGATAAACATTAAAAGACAGGTTTCACTGCACAGAGACCATAATACATCAATTGAATGCAGACTAATCAAAACTTTGTTAGTGAGTGCCAAGTGACAATTAAGCTAACTATGGTAGCAAGCTTTATAGTAAGTTGATGTACTTCAAATGTACAGCTGGACAGGATGGCAGCCTTTAAGTTAGAGTCTGACATTTTAGTCTACACAAGATATGCCCAATATTTTATTTACCACTTCTATTTTGGCCTCTTTCCCACGCACACACTTCTCCGTCACAGTTTTGCTAAACCCACAAAGTAAGCCTAGCCAAAAACTGGACAGCTTTTTGAAAAAGAAGGAAAAATAGCCAGATTTGGTGGCACATGTCCATAATCCCAGCATTTGGGAAGCTGAGGCAGGAGGATTGGCATTAGTTCCAGAGCAATCAGGGCTACATAGTGAGTTCAAGGTTGGCCTGAACTACATAGCAAGACCCTGGCTGGAGGGGAGGGAAGGGAAGAGGAGGGGAGAGAAGGTAAGGGGAGAGAACCACTGATGAGACAGCAGAAGGTACCAAGAGTTCCAGTTAAATTATGAGGGTTCCCGGCAAGCAGTAATGCAAATTCTCCAAGCATGTCCTGTACAGTATGTTGCCACCAGATACCCAAGAAAGCCAAGAAACTTTCAAAATTTATTTGCCACATGGAGACTAAGCATTTAAAAGCCAAGCCTTTGGAATACTGCAAAGGAAAAAAATGTGAAGATTAAGAACAAAAGCAATTATTGAAGGTCACAACTTCATCAAATGTCTGCACAGAAAGCACCTTTCTTAGTGGATAACCATATTGCTAAATCTAAGAAGCTCTTTAGTATTGGTAAGAGTTAACCCTGCCTTATGCTAAGGACATTTGTCAGGAACTTTTAGGAGAAGGTACTGTTCAAAAGATGGTATCTGTTCTTCTTTCAGCTATCATCATAACTACACAATTTGATGAAATACCAGAGAATACTGAGGCACAACTGTTAGAATTACTGAGTCACTGTGGTAGACAATCAGTTTGATGAGTCTACCTATTGGTATAGACAATAAGGCAAAAATACTTGTTTTTGTGCAATATCATTTTCAGGAAGATGTACATGAAGATATATTATGGTCACTTTTGTTGCCAAGGAGCACACAGCTGCAATAGTATTCAAGTCTTTGCCCTTAACTCACATGTCACGAAGCTCTGGGAAGAGATGGACGCAAAGCTACTATAATGTAGTAACAACAGAAATAAACTACACAATAAATATAATGTGTTTGAATCATCCCACCCCTCACCCTACACTCACACCTGTCCTGGAAAAAATGCCTTCCATAAAACTGGTCCCCGGTGCTACAAAGCTTTGGAACTGCTATTATATCACTTAATGTATTATCTAGGTAGTGGATTCTATCCCTGATTTCCTGATTCCAAACATAGTTTCCCATGACACCAACACATATGAACACTGTTAAGTGACACTACCAATTAAAATGTTTTACAATGAAAATTTTCTAAAAAAATTATTAAAGGAAAATGGCTATTTGATAGGCGTGTGTGTGTGTGTGTGTGTGTGTGTCTGTGTGTCTGTGTGTGCCTGTGTACCTGGGATTGAACTCAGAGCCATATACTGGCTAAACATAAGCTCTGCTATTGAGCTACGTCACAGCCCCTGAAAAGATTTTGAAAATGTTTTCACAATGTTTAAATCCTATAGAAACAAACAATAAAGAAAATGATACAAACTTTAATATTAAATGGCTTAACAAATAACAACAAAAGCTTAAAAATGTTAAATAAATTCCAGGAAATTCTAGAATTTAGGCTGTATTCCAAATTTTTCAAAACTGAATTTTTTGCAAAATTCTTTGAACTTATAAGGACCATATGTCAAGCTGACATGAAAAAATACATTAGGAGAAAACTGGCTAATGAGTAACTAAAGATTTTGAGAAAATCAAGATAATGTATTTGGAGAAAAAATTGCAGTACTTTTTGTGGAAATAAACATGCTAAATACCATAATATATACGTTACACACACACACACACACACACACACACACACACACACACACACACACACATACAAATGAATGAGTTAAATAATATATTTTTCACCTGATTCTGAAGATCGCTGATCTGTCTCATCTTCATTCTCCAACTGCTGGGTTAATGCCTCCTTATAATTTTCTACTACTTCAAACTCATTGTTTTTTTGACTGTTTTCACTAGCCTGGCTTTGTGTCTCTATTTGTTCATGCTCCATTTTCTGTTTCAGGGAACAAATATCACTATCTTTCTCCATCATTTGCTTCTTTTTCTCTTTTTCAAGTTTCTTTTCATTCTAACAAAAAAGAAATGTAGCATCTTTATTATAATGCATAATGGTTTTATCAAACATGTAACATCAATTTAACATCATTTACCTTATACTACTGTAAGAATGTTTACATTAGATAATTCTGTGATTTCAATGGTACTGTGATATTTTTATTAAAATTATTTGTTGAATATATCATTAAAACATGCTATCAAATATTCAGTAAACACAAAAAATATAAAGAAAGAAAAATATTACCAATAGTTTCACAACCTAGAGATGACCACTATTCAGTCTGTAATCATTATGGTTTTTTTCTGCCTAGTCACAAACATGTATAGACAAATACCCACAAACATATATAAGTATGTGACTGTCTTTCTATATATACATATTTGTTTAAACAAAAGAGAATCGAAGTTTTTAAGAATAGTGTTTCTTTCCACACCAGTGAAGATATGAAATGCTTAGAACAGTTCCTCATATGTAGAAAATAAGTGTTTGCTGCTATTATTTGCAACAATTATATTAACATTGAAAAGTTTATAACATTATACTAATTCCTTTATAATAAACAAGTTCACATTTCTAATTTTTCCAGTATTGTAACAAATAAATTGCTCTCCTAAATTTTTAATATTAAATTCCTAACAGTAAAAATGTTGAATCTGTGGGACTGCCACATTTTAAAATGTGACATATAATCACACACTTCTCTTAAAAAAAACTGAATTAATTTATCTCTCAGGCAAAAAGTTAGGAGAATTACATTTCTTTAAATCATTTTCAATGCTGAATGTCAGTATTAACCTTTCAAATCTCTGACAAACTAGCAAATATCTAAATTAATGTTGTTTTAATTTAATTAATTTAATTAAAAATTGTTATCACTCGGGGAGATGAGTTATTAAATACCCTTATTGCCATTTTCCCCCTTTACTAAACTATCTGTGCTAACCAGTGTGCATTTTTCTATTTACTTTTATAAAAATTTGTCAGAATTCTTTTTTTTACCTCTCAGTAGGACTAGTCACATAGTTATATCAGATTATACATATTATGTATTTTATTTTTCATTAGGATTGGCTTTGTTTTAATGTTTGCCTTTTAACTTTGTAAAACAGCACTTAAAATTAAATCCAATATAATCTATCCATTTTTCACTTTATGATTTGTAGTTTATCTTTGAAAGTTTTCATCCTCTCAACCTATGTTAATGTTTATATTATCTACTGGCATTTTTAAGACAACTTTTCAAATATATATTTATATATATTTTTGCTACTTCTGAAGTTTAATTTGCAATATAATGCACAATAATTTTATATTTTTTCAAGTGGTTTTTCATTTCCAGTATTTTTTCTGATTTGACATACTACCTTTACTTCCTATTAAATGTTCCTACATAATTAGATTTATTACTGTTTGTTCAATTGATATGTCTAGTCTACAACAACTCTTCATAGTACTTTACTACTTTTAGTAGCTCTGGTAATAATCAAATGAATATTAGGTTTTGTAAGCAATGCAAACATACTAAAGAAATTTTGTGAAAAAAAATATTTTCATGGGGCCAGGGATTTAGCTCAGCGTTTCCACCGCTTGCCTTGCAAGCACAAGGACCTGAGTTCAATCCCCAGCAACCCCCCCCAAAAAAATTTTTTTTCATGATAAAAGGATATCATAGATAATATTTTCATTATTGATTTACCATCTTCTTAAAATTATCATAATTTCAATTTCAAAGAATAATAATTGTATTCTCCCTAATACACTAATTAATTTATATACCTTCAATATATGGTGTTCTATGCTCTATGCCAATATTGTTTGCTTCCTTACATTATGAAGAATAGGATGCTGGCAGAAGCAGTAGGGCCTTCTAGGTAAGTTTTACACAGGATAGTCCTATAAAATAACTGGTTTTATCAATGTCTCTAGTTTCTCATTCTTTATGGCTGAGTAGTACTCCACTTTATTAAACACACACACACACACACACACACACACACACACACATCCTCTTTATCCAGTCTCCAGTTAAAGGACAATTGGGCTGTTTTGAGGTTTTAGCTATTACAAACTGGGCCATTATGAATATGGGTGTGCATATATCGTGTGTGGTATGATTGTTCTAATTCTTTTGGGAAGATAAACAGCAGGGTGTATAGCTGGGTTAAAAGGAACATATGATTCAGTGTTTTGAGGTATCTCCATATTGTTTTCCACAGTGGTTACACCAGTCTACACAGTGAGGCCATATTCTTAAGTGAAATAAATAGGATAAATGTGTAAATACAGAATAGTTTCTGTGGCTTGAGAAACTCAAAGTGTAAATGAGGATCAATGTATATAATAGATAATGAGAAATACGAAGAAAAGGTCAAAGGGGAAGGAGAAGGGGAAGTGGGGGGAAAAATGAAAGAAGGGTAATAAATAAATATGAGAAAAGGAAAAAATGGAAACCAAGTGTGTAAATAGGGAGGGGTGGAGTGGTTGAAGGGAACGCATGGGAACTGGGAAAAAACTAAGAACCAAGATATATAATGTAAAGTTACAATTCCCAATGATGAATGTCATCATATTGTATACCCAAAATGTACCAATAAACTTAATGAATTAAAAGAATAACTGGCTTTATAATATGGAGACAATAATTCATGCTATCAAGATGGCTTTGCTTAGAAAATCATATAGAGGAAATGCAATGGGGCTAAAAAAAGATTTAATTAATCTTCAGATAGCTGAGCGATTTAAGATTAAATATCCCATATTACGTATCATTTTGCAGAAAAGCAATATAAAAATTATTTCCTCATCTTTTTACCCACAGAGGTGGCTCCCTCAACATCATCCCAGAGGAAGAAACAATCATCTGCCTTCCCAGATGAGCACTTGTGTGGAAGAAGGCAGTGACAGAGGAAGAGGAGTAGAGAACACAGACAGGATCAGCTAGCCTGCATCCACATTAAGCTCTACGTGAAGGGAAGACTGAGGAAGCCCTGCCTCAGAGGACGCTCAGCCACTGAAAATGATGAAAGCAAAGCCAACGCCAACCCTGGACCTCAGCAGAAGATGAGAATAAAGACATGGATGCACACACACACACACACACACACACACACACACACATTCATTAGCTTCTTCATAATTAAAATCTACAAATTAATCTTGCTAAAAGTTGAGATAACTAAAATTAAAATACATTTCCTGTATTCAGATAAAAGAAAATTTACTGCTGTTTAAAATTGTTTATGTAATCTAACACATCACAAGCACCTAAATATTATTATAGGGATAGTAACAGCAATACTGGGACAAAGACAAAGTAAATAACAATATATTACCACTATATGACAAAAATAGATTTATTAAAACAGTAACTAAAATAATTGCTACAACACTCAACATTTTCATTCTAATTAATTTTGAAGACTTAGTTCCTTTTTTACATTATATCAATTTCATTTAAAATATTCATTTTTTATTTTTTGTGCATTCATGCTAGGCAGTTGCTATATATCTCCAGTCCCCAAAGTAAAATTTGAAGGGGAAAATAAAGCAATAAACATTCAATAAGTCTCTCACCTTTAATTTCATTAAAAATAATCTCTTTGGAGAAATAATTCTATTCCCTGTGTTATGACTGGGACCCACAATATTCCACAAGAGGCTCACTGTGTTGAAGGCATGGTTCCTTGCTGGTAGGGTTTTGTTAAGTGACTGGGTCATGAGGGGTCTAAATTCATCAAGTAGATTAATCTACTGATAATATCATAATTCAGTGGGCTTATGCAGAGGTGGGAGCTACATAAATGAAGCAGGTCACTGGCAGGGCAAGGTCGGAGAATGCGGATGGTTCTGAAGGGTGTATTTTGCCCTCAGTCACTTCCTCTCTGGTTCAATCTCTCCCTCTGCTTCCTGGCTACCATAAGGTGTATAGCTTTGCTCTACCATGTCCTATCAGCATGATATTCTGCCTTGATAGAGACCCAAAAACAATGGAGCCAGCTAACCACTGACTGAAACCTCTGAGACCATAAGCCAAAATGAAGCTTCCTCCTTTTAATTGTCACTTTCGGGTATTTTGTCACAGTGATGGAAAATTAATATACCTTTTTTCCTTCTTTCACTTCTTTTCCCAATATCTTTATGATTTAACATATTTTTAAAAATCACATCTGCCACCAACTCATACCTCTATTATTACAGATGCTATCGGCTGGAAAGGGTTGACAGTTAGTGGTCTTTGGTCCAACTCATCTAGACCACTGGTTCCATCCAGTTCCCCTTGTTCTCGTTCTCTTTGTTCCCTATTATTTGAGGGAAAATGGAAATGTTTTGTAAAATGTGCTTAATTATGCTTAATAAACAAATTTGCAGCCAGGGATTTAGCTCAGTGGTTCCACCTCCTGCCTCACAAGTGCAAGGACCCGAGTTTGATCCCCAGTACCCCCCCTCCAAAAAAAAACAAACAAATTTGCAATAGGTTTAAAAGTATTTAGTCTTAGTAATTTATTATTAATTCTTTTTCAGTACTGGGAATTGAACTCAGGCCCTTGTGATTCCAAGGCAGGCAGCAGAACCATTGAGTCAAATCCCAAGCCCATAGTCTTAGTAATTTAAACATCTCATCATAATTTTTAATTGTTGAGAGGAATTAAAAAATACTTATGCAGGTAATAGGCTACTATCCTCATTTAAAATAAGTTATTTGAAGCCAGGTGTGGCAGTGCATGCCTATAATCCCAGCACTCTGAAGGCTGAGGCAGTAGGATCACCATGAGTTCAAGGCCAGCATAGGCTACACATTGACTTCAAGGTCAGCCTGAATTATATAGTGAGACCCTGTCTCAACAAAACAAAACAAACAAACAAACAAAAAAAAACCAACAACAACCAAAAAGCAAAAGAAATTGTTATTTGAATTCAAAAGAAAAAATTCTCACAAAATGACAATCATAATGAGTGATTTCTTCATTATTTTATTTTGTTTTGCTTTTTGGAGACAAGGTCTCCTGATGTAATTTAGGTTGGTCTTGAACTCACTATTTAGCCCAGTCTGTCTTTGAACTTGTGGCTGAAATTACAGCCAGGAACTACCACACCCAGCTATAACTCCTTAATGTTTATGTACATTAGTTCTCCATATTGAAAAGTTGTACATTTGTCAAATTATTAATTACCCTTTAAAATCAAAGCTATTCTTTTTTACCAGCATTAACAGAAAAATCTTTTATTTTTAAATACAAGTTGGAAACACTACTTTAACTCAGTTTTTATTTATATACAAACACATTTCTTATTTATAGTACAAGCAAAACGGCAACACATCTATAGCTTTATTTTATAGAAGTACATGACAGAGTAGTACTATAAAGTGACTAGTTTTGTCCAGGTATATATTATATTTGAATAGTTAGGTAAAAACTGTTGCTTTGTTTAATATTATGAGAAGTTATAAAAATGTTTCCCTGTATCATTCAGATTAAATATTCCCATACTAGTTTCTAATGAATCAATTACAATTTCTGTGATTTAGAATTAATGTTGTCTAATACATGAAAAGTACATTACTAAAACAATTAGCCAAAGGCAGAAAAATGAATATTATGGATCATCAACTAGATTAGTAGAACAGCAATGCGAATGTTCATTACTATGACATTTATGACTGTGTTCTAACATGGAAATATATATCCTTTCATTCTGAATCTGGAAAGGCAAAGTTTAGAGATTTGCAATTAACTATTCTTATGACCTTGGTCTAGATCTGTGAGCCTCAACTTTCCCATTAATATCTCATTGAGGTGTTTCAAAGATCAAATAAGGCAAAATACACAAGGGGACTCATAAATAAACAAAACATGAGTCCTTGTTATTCATATTACACATTTATTAGCACCAATTTCAGATACACAGTATTAAGACACTACTTTGATATCAAAACTGGGATTTTTACTGTTTTTCAAAAAAAAACTGAAATGATTAGGAGGACAAATTAGATTCAACTTAATAAAGTAAAAAGACTGTTTTCTAGTCCCTATAATCTATCCTCTTTAAATACCAATTTATTTTTAATCATAGAATCACAGCTAAACAGGTAAAGGTCTCAGACAACAACTGCCAAGGCTAAGGAGAAAGGAGGAGAGAAGAATGAGTATTAGGAAAGCCTGCCATAATGCAGAATAGGTAAAGGCTTTTTGAAAATGACTAACATTAGATTTTTTGTATCCAGGGCCAGGGATTTAGCCCAGTGGTGCTGTGCCTGCTTCTCAAGAACAAGGTCCTGAGCTCAATTCCGAGTCCCCACTCAAAAAATAATTTGTATCCAACTTGACTTTTTCTTCACTTCTTCATCTCTCCTTCCCTCTTTCCCTTGTCCTGCCCCCCATCTCTATCTCTGTCTCTTCTCCTCCCACTCTCTGCCTTACACGTTTTCCACCATTGACTACATCCCTAACCCCATGTTTTTGTTTTCTTCATGGAGAAATGGCAAGAAAATTATCAGAAAAGAGTAGCCCTATATTTTACTTTTATAAATAAGGTATTTTACACGTATGACTACTTGTAATGAGCTTTATATCATGAAAATATACACTAAGACATGAAACCAAAGATTCTCACACTAAAATCTCATATTGGCAGCTGCGTCAAGATCACTATCTTCTTTCTTTGGTATGATAAAGACCTAGATGAAGGACATGCTCATATAACAGAGCACTTCAGGAGAGTGTAGGAGAGTGATTTTAACAAATATTTTTCCTTTAAAAGAATTCTCTCAATTTAAAGAACAACAGTGTCATAAGACTTCCTCTACAATGTAAGGTAAATACACTCTTCCTCACAAAACTCAGGAGTAGTGGGTTTTTGCCTATGGAGATGCAGCTATATTAAACAATATGAAAAGCCAGTTTTACTTTGGTTGATGAAAGCCACTTTAGATCTTACATGAACGCACTTAAAAATCTTTTTAGCCAGGGATTTAGCTCAGTGGTTATTCTGCTGCCTGCCTTGCAAGCACAAGGACCCGAGTTCGATCCCTGGTACAAAAAAAAAAAAAAATCTTTTAAAATTTTCCTCTTTTTCCTCCCTCTTCCATCCTGTAACAACTGAACGAAAAAAAAAGAGAAATCTAAAGCTGAGCATTAAAGTCAACATATTCAGATCATAGTACTTTTTAAAAGTTATGAATGATTTTGAAGTAGAATTCATGCAATCTTTTTCAAAAGTATAGTTTGGTGAACTTAGTTTAAACATTTTCTTTCTCAAAGTATATTTTAAAAATTACTTAAGATATACATTTTAATAACTTGAAATGGTATAATGTGGACTACTTTCCGATAAAATCAGTACTGAAATTGTATTTTTCTTCAGTTAATTTAACCTCAACATCTCACCTTCTATCCAGTACTATCTTCCCCTCCACCCATCTGTGACAACCAAAAATGTTTCTAGACATTTCTCCATGTTCCCTGAAAGGTAAAAATCTCTCTGAATGTACAGAACCACTGCTCTAAATGTTCTCCTAAGAAATAAGAGATAAAATTTTGAAACTGGGAAATAATGATTTAACAGGGAGTACATTACCAACAGGAAAGTTACAAATCTATGTAAATTTGTGGGGAAGCTGAGGCTCACAGATGACTTAAACTTGTGTAATCAAAGATTCAGAATAGAATAGGCAATGTATTTAATGTCCTCCTTCATACAAAAGGAGACAAAACTGAACAGAACAAGTAGACGGAATAAATAAAAGTTGCAAAGTGTTCATAAAAATGCCAGGTATTTTTACTCCTCAAATGTACTGTGGTATGAAATCAGGCTTACTACCTTTCTTCTCGTAATTTTCTCACTCGTTCAGCTCTTTCCCGTTTCTCTTGCTCCTCGAGTGCTCGTTGTTCAGTTGTGTCCTTTTGGATGCGTTCATTTAAGGCATCAAAGTCTCTTGCAATGATGTGCAGTAGCCAATAAAGGCCTTTTTTAATAGATTTGTCAATTTTCTTTCCATATCCCAAGACTGCTGAACAAGGTTCCTGCAACAGAAGTTTATTTGATTCAAATAATAAAACTAAAGGCTCTCTGCACAAATCTATTCATAAATCATTAGGTATAATTGCTGGCAAATCAAAAGTAAGCCTTTTTTTAAAAAAGTAAGCCTTTTAAAAAATTTATAGGAAGCATGGACTTACTTAACCTATAAAGCAAACCTCACTACTTCATAGAAATTGAATGGTATCGAATAGAAATGGTATCTGAAAGCTACACGACTCACTATGGCACAGAAGTTGATAGCTATCAGTGATAATTTTAAGCAACTTTATTGAAGTACAAAGTAGGCCTGCTATAAGGAAAATACATCAACTTCTTAAGAATATTGGTACATTTTAATTTCTTTACCAATGAATTTATAGCAGTAAACATCCATAAAATTGACAACCTAATAATTTTGTGAAACTGGAACAAATAATTAAATCCCAGCCATCTACCTTAATATTGTATGACAACTCTTAAGATTGCATGACAATAAATTTTCAAAATTCATTATGAATTTCTGAATTTGTCTTGTATTTATATTTTTTCTTTCCCATTTAAAAAAATTTATAGCATAACATTTTGGTATATGTACTTTACACAAAGCAATGTTAACAACTGAAATCATTAAAGATAGCTCAGGGAAGTCACTAACAGCTAAATAGAAAACACTACAACAATGTGACTAATACCAACAGAATAGGAACACTGTGATTTCCCATGTAAAAAGTTCTCTTAACATTGTTTTCTAACTACTTATCACTCTATAAAAACTAAGTATACTAAACATATTTGTAAAAAGCACAAAAGAAAAACACACTTACTATCTGACACAGGCACTTGTGCTCGTTAACCAATTTTTCTAAAGACAGACATTCAATCACATCAGCTTCTCCTAAAGCCCCTTCTTTGTCCTGCTTATTTGCCAACCTAGAAAAACAAAGTGGTTTTATAACAAATTATAATCACTTGACATCTTCAAAATATTTTTAAATTAATGATTGCATTCATCATGGGGTAGGGCTAGAGCTGGAGCTCAGTGGTACAGCACATGCCTAGCAGGGCTAAGGCCCTGGATTTGATTCCTAGCACCACATTAAAAAAGAATAAAGAAAACACTCATTATAGGAGGATTGGTACATGTGTAAAAATGTCTTAATTCTTTTTATTTCCTTTCCCCTCTACCCTCCCCCCTTCTCCATCTCTTAGTTTCTTTCAACTTGCAAACGGTCTATTTCCTATTAGTTTTGACCCTGTTCTTCTATTCAATACATATAAATCTACTGATTATAGAAGTTGAGTTAGAAAGTATTTTAGTATTATGTCATCGTTCTTCCTTATTATTGATAAAATAATAAGAACTGGCCTATAAAAGCAAAATCAAGTAGTATCAAGAAAGCACAAGCTGGGCGTGGTGGTTCATGTCTGTAGTCCCAGCACTTGGGAAGCTAAGACAGGAGGATCGCTGTGACTTCAAGACCAGCCTGGGCTACATAGTGAGTTCCAGGTCAGTCTCATAAAAACAAAAAAAAAAAAAAAAAAAAAAAAAAAGCAAGCACAAATAATAGACCAATATCTCCAAAAGAAGCAACAAATAGAAAACGGGGCTATTTTACATGACCTACAGCTACATATTATACCCTTATCTCTTAAACTACATCAGGATATAAATATCTTTATCTCATGTACTTATCTTATTAAAATATAAACTGTTTCATTTTAAATGTCAATTATTCACTCTATATTTGGGCTTCTCTACATTTCTAATATGTGAATGTGTCCATGTAAATGTGCAATTTATTGAAGACTCAGGGCTACTCTAATTTGGCATAAATCTGCACATTAATAAATACACACACTATGTGCAGCTCACATACACTCATTTAATAGCAAACTGGATGTTGTACCTCAAGTCTAGATGTTGCCCCAAAGCTTCATGCAGTCCTTTTCAAATGTAGCTAAATCTGGAATGTGTGATGCTAAAATTAAGGGTGTGTGGATAACTAAACCACTACAGGAGAGTGACTGGTTTGGCACCGCCCTAATCTCAGTAGTCTGAATAAGAAAAAAGGACCAGAAAGATACTGTTTGATCTCTTGTGGCCCTACTGCTTTTGCTGCTTCTGTCACCGCCATGAACTGTTGCACCTCTGCCACACTGCCTTGGAGCAAACCAGTTATGGACTGAAACCTCTATAAACTGTTAGCGAAAAAACCCTTTCACCCTTTAACTTTGGGTGTCAGGTATTCTGGCTCAGCAACAAGAGAAAAGTAACTAACACACTGGGGAATCAAATGAAAAACCAGACTTCTAGAAATAATAGAAATTGCCAAGAAATACCACTATTTTCCTTGGATGGTAGAGGTCAAAAAGTTTAAGATTCTGCATCCATAAATTCAACCAACCTCAGATAGAAAGTATTTGGGGGAAAAAAAAGAACAAAACACTGTATTGGATGTATACAGCCTTTCCCTCTTTTCACTATCCCTTAAATAATACAGAACTATGTAAGGACTACTTATGTAACATTTACATTGAATGAAGTATTATAAGCAATCTAAAGGTAATTTAAAGTATACGGATGTGCATAGGGTATATGTAATTCTTCTTGTTTTATATGAAGAACTTGAACATCTTTGCATATTGCTATTTATGAAGGGTCTTGAAACCAATCTTTTTTGATACTGGGTGATAACTAGACTGTCCTTGGTCAGGGTTAGAGTTTTGAGCAAAAACAAAGCTGTCAATAAATATACAAAACAGTAAGTCTAATGAAGTGCTATTATCTACCTTTAAATATTAACAATACTGTGTCATTCATGCTGATCTATGTACCTTCTACTTTTTTCCTTTCAGCTATATTACTTTACAAAAAAAGTTTAAATTACAAAATGTCCATATTATCACAACACAATTAATAAAAAGCCTTTAATATTATTCAATATAGTTGATATTTCTCAGTATCATTTTACAAGTGTTATATTCATAATCAGATTCAAACCAAATGCACATTACAATTCATAACTGCTAAGCTTTTAAAAATCAGTAATACCTACCCTTTCCCAACTCCAACAATATCTCTTTATCTCCCATGGCATTTATTTTTACAAGAAAACAAATCATTTTTTTGTAGAAATGTACATGTTTAGGATTTGGCTAATAGCGTCTCTGTGAGATAATTAACATACATTTCCTGTATTTCCTATATCTAGTAATTAGATATGGAGATTAGATGAATTTCAGGGTGAAATAATTTGGCAAGGTAGCTAATGGCATTGTTGCTAATGAGAAAGGATGAAGCATCACTTTCGTATTATGTCATATTTTTGTGATATTAAAATTGATCTGTGGATTTGAGACAGCACAATCCACTCAAAATGAGTTCCTTATTAATCTTTCACTTAATGATTTTAACAGTAACTGATAAAGTTTGCTTAATTCAATTATTTTTGTTTATAAAATAAAAACTAATTCTATATTACTTCATCATTTAATAGCAGAGTTTTCTGTTGAAGAAAATTAGCTTCCATCAATTTTCTGGTGAATCTTAAATACAAGTCACAGTTAAATCAAGATAAATGACCCTTTGACTTTATTTTCTAATTTTCATAATAATTCACTGGTGCCCTATCCACCTCCAAAACTGATAAAAGTTGCCTTAATATGTTTTTAAGATCTTCTTTTAGGGGGCATCATTACAAATTGATTTTCTAAAACATATTTGATGTAGTTTCATTTATTGCAGTTACTGTTCTTGTTAAGGCCCAAAGCTGTCCATCTACAGACACAGAGGCCTCCTCAGGTGGGCTGTGGGCTCCTTCTTTGTACAACTTCAACAGCTGCTGATAATTTCTTTTCTTTCTAACATAAAGCATGTCTGAGATCCAAAATTACCTATTTCCCTAAGAATCTCTCAGGGAGATTTCTATGAAAAATGGCACGGTAAATACATAACATGAACACTAATGATATTCACTGCTATTGACTTGTCTTTGCTTCTCAATCATTTCTAAGTACACAGTTGGAAATAGTTTTTTAAATTGTTTTAAAGAAAAAAGTTAATCATGAGTTCATATTTATTTTTCTTATTTCAAATCAAATATTACTAATTTTTTACTTATCTTCTTGGATTTCACTTGTATCTTTCTCTATATATGCTGACAAGTATAGTTTTAATAACATGCCCTTAACCATTTGCTCTATCTTGTTATGTATGTTTCAAGTGAATGTCAATATTACTAAAATATGACTTAATAAATGAAGATAATATCTGTTAGTAGTTTTTTTAAAAGTTATATCCCATTAGTGATATACCAAATACTGAGATTTAAAATTAGTTGAGGAGTTACAGGTAGTTCAGTGATAGGGTGCTTGCTTAATATGCACAGACCCTAGGTTTAATCCCAAGCAACACACACACACACACACACACACACACACACACTGAATAAATAAATAAATAATATGAATTACTTGAAATAACTCTTCTCTGTGTATTTAGACATATACAACTAGATTCATTTGTCTCAAGGTGCTTTTGTTTTTTCAAAAGGTAGTTTTTTTTTTCAGCTTCAATTGAGTTTATTGGTACATTTTAGGGATACAGTACAGTTGCATTCATTGTTGGGATCTTGTACCTCTACATGACAGGTCTTGGTTCTCATTTTTTCCCCTTGTCCCTGCCCTCCCTTCCCCCCTCCTCCCCTCCCCATCTACAAGCACTTTATTTCCATCTTTTCATTATCTCACATTTTTTTCTTTTCCCTTTTTACCCTTCCCCTACCCATTTCACCTTCCCTACACCTCAAAAGGTAGTTTGTATTTTAAGATTTAATTTTAAAAATATTTATATGGTTCCAAATTCAAAACTATAAAACTAAGGTATAACGAGAAAGAACCACTGTCCATCTCTTTCCCTTCTCCTCTAATTCCTTCTCTTCTACAGGTAGTTATTTTTATTAGTTTTTATTTCATCTTCATATTCTTTATTTTAGAAAATATTAACAAGCATGTGGGATAAATAGTATTTTGAGTAAATGTATGGGAGAAGTAGTACCTTCACATGAGGAAAGTCTCAATTTGGACACTACACTTCATTGGGAGTAACTGGTATGTAACTGTATGCATAATAGCAGCATGCATTTTCATAATGGAAAAGTAAATTCTGAAAGAGGACAAATAATCTTCTTAATATGCTCTACAATTTCAAAATGCTCTATTATATGGCTATGAAAGACTTTTGTGTTTCTACTGTTTTGTTTTTACTTAAGAGTGCTATGAAAAATAGATATGTGGAATTGTTTCTTATTTGGAGAACAGATTTTCAGAAAGTACAGCTTCTAAATAAAAAAATTACAAATGCTATTTTGTCAGCTATTATAACAATTTTCCTCCTCTTGCCCTCAAACAACAACCTACACAGAAAAAAGGGAAGGTTTAGAAACTTAGTGGTATGAAAAAAATCTTCACAAGTAACTTTTTATAAATACTCCTGAAAAATTAATTTTGAATCATTGTATTGGTATAATAAACACTTTAAAACTGCTGTACAGCTTTAGTTATTCTATACTGAAAACTATATGAGAAACTTATTTTAAAGTATAAATAGCACTATAATAAGAAAAGTAGGGTAGAAGGTTAAAATCATGAACTATTTTCTGGCTGTTTTCCTTCTGAAATTCTGTGATTTTTAAAGAGATTTCCCAAAATAGGGTAGAATTCAATCATCTTAAAGTAAATGGAGCAAAAGCCTTTACACCACAATGTAGCCTTTCCACTACAATTTATTCCCGTTCTGTACTTTTAGCAGGTTTTTGATAACTAAAGAAAATCAAGTAGCCTTGATTTAAATACTGACTTTTTGTTGGATTATTCCACAGATAATATAGGCCTGGATTTATACTTATATGTGCAACATACCCTATGTGGGCAGTTTAACAAGGACTTCCTGTTACTGAAGTAGCTCCAGTGAAAATCTTCCTTTAATCTGAAGAATAGGAGTTTAACTGGCAGAACCAGATTCTCCAGGTGTGAAGTAAGCAATCTGTTCTCATTTGATATTAACAGCAAAGGCACAACTTTATCTCCAACTTATTTGGCTTTATTATTTGGCTTTCATTAACTATATGAGAACCATACAGAAATTAGGCTGTGACCTATAAGACAGGGATTTAAATACTTTGATCAACGTTACAGTAGATGATACTCAGATTTCGTCTCAGAGGCAGGACTCCAACACGGCAGTGGAAGACCAACAAAAGGATCAAGAAACAAAGGTAAAGAAACTGCTCTTTTTCTACTTCTTAATGAGAGACATGCATAGACAAAATCTGGTTATATTCTGACATTTAAATATAGCTCCACAGATAGTTCAATTTACCCATTTTCCTCAGACTTGGACAGTCCACACAGGTGGCTGCCCTATTCATACGTATTACTAACAAACTGAACCGGACATGGGTACAAAACTCTTAATCAACATTAGAAGAAATAACTTTTAAAGTTCTTTAAAAAGTGATTTCTTGTTTTGTAAATATTAGGAAGTCAGGCTATACCTAAAGTGCGCATATATTTAAAAGTGAGATAATTTCATAGTTTTAATTAATTTCTACTACTGTTCCCCAGAATGTTCTAAAAGTAATTTGCAGATATTAGAAAACAATATTACTAAAACTACTAACATGAATTATCAAAGTACTCTGTCCCCTTTTTAATGTTTCAACTAGTATATTGAAAATACTTAAATTTTAAAATTTAACATAGAATTTTCAAACTATGAAATGAATATAATATTTTAGTTAGTGTCATTTAAATGCCACATAAAGTAGGTCAGACACTTTCTCTTATAATTACTACCATGTTAGAATTTAAGAAATATGCCATTTGAAGTGAAACTAATACTGACATTGAGATATTTTAAGGGGAAATTTGAAAGATGGCCATGAAACACCTAGAATATTCTATCTTTAAGGCTCCTCACTTTTAAATTTAGTATGAAAGTTTAGTACAAGGTACCTGAATTAGGTAAGTGAAAGTTTAAAAAGTAGATGAGTCATAATAAAAATGATTTTGCTACTGTTAAATTAATCAAGAAATATAATAATTTACACTAAAAGCAGGAAAAAAGCATTGAAGAATATTATAAGAACAATGTCAGGTAATTAAAACAGATAATATATGCAATGTGCAATACATGTTAGTCCATTTTTTAAAATCACTGTTTTGCTCTCATTTAAGCAGTGAAAGTTAACATTTCAATAAGATCTATTGCTTTAACCCTGAACTAGAGAAATGTTACAAGTTGTCATCGCATGCAAAACTAAAAGATATTTCATGTTTGCTTTAAAACTGGCTATATTTTTTGAAATAACTTATTTAAGCAATATAGCAAGTGTGGAAAGAAACTGCTTTAAAAAATCTGTAAGCATATTAAGTACATTTTCCCCAGCACAGTTCTTAAAGCACTAGGTAAGTTTTATTTGTTTTTGTATCTAAGAATGTATTTTCTGTAACAGGGTGGAGAAAGTTTTAGAGTCATACAAGTTTATTTTTCAACTTCATAGAACAAAGTGTGAAAGTTGGTTACTCTATGTCCCAGTGACTGTTCTTTTTTTTTTTTTCAATTATGTTTAAACTCAAAAATATAATCCAAGGGCTGGGGATTTAGCTCAGTGGTTCTAGCACCTGCTTTGCAAGTACAAGGACCTGAGTTTGATCCCTGGTACCAGAAAAAATATTATCCAGTATACCAAGTAAAATTCAAAACTGTATAGCCATTATTAAGCTAGTATGCTGAAAGATGATTTATATTCAGATAAAATACTTCCATCCTTAAAAAAATAAATTTAAAGTATAGGAAAGATTGTATAAGACTCACCAATTTCACCTAAAGAGTTAAATGATTTTACAACTATGAGCTTCATATTTATGCCTATATGAACTCTCTCCATCCCAACTTTTAAATTCTAATAAGCTTGAATGGTTTGTTTTGCCTAATCTTTGAAGATATAAGATCAATTAAACTAGAAATAATTGTGCATATAGTTATATCTCTGATATTCTTAGAAAATAAAATTTAACTATAGCATGTAAGGGTACCCAAATGCCTAAATTAAGTCTGTTTTTACATCACAGGAACATTCTGAATTATGTGAACTCTAAAAGATAATCAACTATGACTTAATCAAGATGCATATGTGCAAATGAAACATAGAAACAGACATAGAACTGTTTGCTTGGATATATCCTTAAGTAAAAAAAGGACAAATTTTCACCCTATTTCACTAAACTTTAAAGAAAGGGAAACTTTAAGATAGCACATATGAAAATGGAACACAGCCAAAATGAAGAGTAGAAATTAAAGCTAAACTACAATGAAAAAACAAAACTGCAAAAAAAGGTAAAATACATGAATTTCCAGATTAAAAAGAGTCAATAAATATTGAAAAAAAGAACAAGAAAAAGAAAAAAGACTTACCCAAAATCACATTACTGTGAAGGTTCAGAACACCAGGAATAAAAAATGGCCAAGCATTTCATGAAAAGGGAATATAAAAAGATCTTATACAAAATAGTAGGAGGCAGATAGCAGATTTCTCAAAAGCAAGAAAGAGAGAAGAAAACATAATGAAACTTTCAAACAATTATGGGAGTACAAGTGAGAATTATATCCCCAGGAAATATATTAGGTCAGGTATAAAGAAAGCATAAAAACATTTCAGAAATGCAGGGTATATTAATATTTTGAAAGGAAGCTAAGGTAGATTCCTAAATAAAGGAAATAAACCAAAAATGATGAGGAGCCAGGCGTCAGAAAGGGATACTATAAAGGAGGAGACCAGCTCTTAACACCATCAAGTCACATTAGAGGGTTCTAGGAAAGATGCATCAAAAGATGATGCAATAAAACAAAATGAAATTTTAAAATATTGACTATATTTAACTATATCAGGAAGACATTTTCTGTTTGGTTAGTTTTACAATGATTTAGTGAAATATACAAAATAAAGCAAATGAAAACTTAGGTAACTGATAATTTGAAGAAAAATTCAGAAGTTTACTGTTTCTTGATCTATACGATGTTTCATGTATTTACTTTGTGAAAATCCACCAAACTACCCATTTATGTTCTGAGTATTTTCTGTGTATGTGTGTATAAAAGCAAATGAAAAGTTTTCATAAGAAAAACAACAACAACACATTTTCCCTTTCCTTCCACTGAAAAGACATGAAGCAACGGAAACAATATTTGATAAAGGAATTATAACCATTATATTTTATGTAAATAATATTTGGGTGACCATAATAACATAAGCATAGAATACTGCCTATTGTCCAACTATATTAGGTGAAAATTGAGAGAAGAATAAGAGAAATTTAAATGCACACCTTTTATAGCAGAAATTCAATACAGTATATAAAACTGAACAAGCAGAACCCACATGAGCAAATAATCTAGATGTAGGAAGCTTAATAGCAGGGGGAATGGGAAAAAAGAGACGGGATGTACCATGTACAGGTACAAACTCCCTATGATGAGTATTATTACTATTTTGTACGCCTAATATGTATTAATAAATGTTTTACAAAAAAAAATCAAGACACAGCTAAGGAGCTGAACATGATTACCTTGAGAAAGGGGAAATGGAAATGGGATATGGTAGGGCCAGGGATTTAGCTCCGCGGTTCAGTGGCCTGCCTTGCAAGCGCAAGAACCCGACCGAGTTCAATCCCTGGGACCAGAAAAAAAAAGGAAATGGGAAATGGCACAGGAGCCGGGGGTCAGATATTTATCTTTCTTAGCTTGAAATTATTTGACCACTTAAATTATGTCTATGTGTTAATTTGGGAAAAAAATCATTTTGGATAAAGCTAATAAGAGGTGAGTGTAATATAAATATTTAAACACTTTGGGAAAGAATGTATTTTCAACATCAAAACGGTAAAAGCATTAAAAGCATTTACATGAGGATGTGACAAATATAAATCACTAAGCCAATTGACACTAGCATCAAATTCCTTCTCACTAGAACTGAGAATTGAAAAGTCTTTCTTTTGGTACCAGCGCTCGAACTCAGGTCCTTGAACTTGCGAGGCAGTCACCAGAACCACTGAGCTAAATCCCTGGCAAGAGAAGACTGGTCTTAATTCAAGTATATAATAAATTATTTTTAGTAATTTTACTTTCACAAAGCTGCCATATGAGAGGTTTCTACAATTACTTCCCAATGTTGTACCAGCATAAGCATTATATACTTAATAAAATACTGAAAAACAGAAGAGTATGATTGGTGGCCTCAGCTTCATATAATATATAAGATACATGAAGTGTACATGTCTTATAATGGACAAAGCATTGGTCTAGAATCTTGGAAGTTTGTATTCTTATAACAGTACAACTACTAACATGCTTTTCTGCTTCTGTTTTCACATTTTTAAAAAAATGAAAAAATTGATTATTCTCAAAGGATTTCTTCTGTAATCAAATTAGAAAGTTCACTGGTATGGAAGAGGTCGGGGTCTCCTCTCCTTTGTGGAATAGGGGAGGACTTCACCTCACTGACAGATACTTTCAGTTGGTTGAGGACTCAAAAAGTGTCATTTTAATAGGGAAGAGGGGCTTTCCAGTCTGCTTTCGATCTGCTGTGGTGACTATCATTTTCAGAAAAGGGGAGCTTATGTTCCCAAGTGACCAAGACTGAGACCAGAGCCCCTGTAAATTCATTATGGACTTGAAATATAAACAAGAGAAGTTGCACTCCTAAGCCACCAAGATTTGGGACTTAGTCATTCTAATGTTACAATTCCTGGCAAGTAAAGTGGAAAGTGCAGAATAAAGAGAAGAGCAAGCAGAATTCTTTTCCAGCTTAGAAGTCTATGAGTTGCATAAAATTGCTTATTTTTTTCAGTATTTTTTTAAAATTAGTGGGAAAATAAATGATTACATGGTATTTGAGTTACATACCATAAATATTTAAAAAGTAAATAGTCTAAGTGCATTATAGTCATGAAAAGCTTACTCTTAAATGTTTCTAACCAGTACCTACAATGCTTAGCAAAGTAACTAAATAGGAAATGTTTCTGAGTACACTTTTAATATCTATGATATGCTCTTTCAGTTAAAAACAGATTTCCAGGCTTATCCCTTGTGATTCATCTTCTTTCCCAACTACTTACCTGAACTAATTGTCTCTTTTCAGAAACTATCCTACCCAATTTCTCTGTAGCATCTGACAACATTGAAAAGGGCTTTATTGCATAGTAACAAGCCATATGGCCAGCACCTGAATTCCAATTCTATCACCAGCTGACACCTTGGTCAATCTACTTAAACTCAGATCTTAATTTCATTATGAAATACTGTACTTAGTTCTTACAAGAACAGACTACACACTTTGAACAGTACCCAGCTCATATTAAGAGCTCAAGTAAATATACAATGCAAGGTGAGAGCTCAGTAAATATGAGAGTAATCAAGGTTGCTGGGAATACCAGAATGAACAAAACTCAATGGAGCTTTTATTTGGGGTAGAAAATAGACAATAAATTAAGGTTAGTAAATTACACAGTATGTTAAATAGTGAAACATACAAGAAGGGTCAGAAATTTGAGAAGGTTGTTACGGTTCTGTATAGGATGACCAAGATAGTCTTACTGAGATGGTAACACTTCAGCAAGAAGTAAAGCAGTTGAGCAATAAGCCATAACCTTTAAGGAGAGAGCATTTCAAAAGGAGAAAATTGCAAATTTCGATGTCGTAAGGCTAGGTGGTGCCTAGAGTTTGTGTGAGAAATACCAAGAACAGGGCCAGGGATTTAGCTCAGTGGTTCCAGTGCCAGCCTCGCAAGCACAAGGACCCAAGTTCAATCCCTGGTACCCCCCCCAAAAAAAGAAAAAGAAATACCAAGAACAGTGAGGCTGAAGCACAGGGAGGGGGGCAGTTGGAAGTGGTGAGGTCAAAGAGGTAGGGAGGTGGTCATGTAGAACACTGTAGGCTCAAGTCTGTGAAGTAACACCCAAGAGAGATTGTAGGTACAGTAATAACATGATCCATCTCCCATTTTGACTCTGAATTCTGTGTTAAGAAAGGATCAAGAGGATCAAGTGTACAAAATAGGAAATAAGGAGAGCACTTAAGAAAATGCTACAGTAATAAAAGTGGGCAATGATTACTTGGACCAGAGAGATGAGAAGAGGTTGTTGGATCAAAAAATACTATGAAACAGAGGTTGATAAGATTTGCTATTAGCTTGGATATGAGGTGTTATTTAGTTTGGTAATGGCATGAGGGGGGAAAGTCAAAATTGACTCCAACAGTTTTGGTCTGACCCACTCAAAAAATTGAGCAGCCATTTGCGGAGATGCAGCAAGCTAAAGGCTCAAATGAAAATCACAAGCTCAAGGTAGACATAAACATTCAAGAGGAACTGTCAAATAGACAGGTGTTTTAAAAGCAGTCTAAGGGTCGGGGATTTAGCTCAGTGGTTCTGCCACCTGCCTCGCAAGTGCAAGGTCCCAAGTTGGAAAAAAAAAAAAAAAAAAAAAAAAAAAAAAAGGCAGTCTAATCTGGAAATCTGAATTTGAGTAGGAGTAGTGAGATAAAAAAATAGTATTTCACACCATGAGATTAAAAAATGATGGAATATAATAAAAACTTAGAAACTGGCCGGGCATAGTGGTGCGTGTCTGTAATCCCAGCCCTCAGGAG